TCTGCGTTACTTTTTTAAATTATGATGTAACACATTTTACGGTTTTGACGATACAGGTCATATATCAAGAAACATTATGTTCATGCAGAAACTGAACATAATTGCTTTAGCTCTTTTCACGGTTTCACCTAAATACTTACGAGAAAAAACGCAAAGAAAAGCATGGCTTGACGCCTAAAACACGGAAGCAATTGAAGTGTAATTTCTTTAAGACTTGGGAAGTAGTAACGACTAACGTAACTACGTTACTTGAAATAGTAACATAAGTACGTTGCCCGTTACTGTGCCGAAAACGTCACGAGTAGGTTACTACGTTACTGAAAAAAGTAACGCGTTCCTGGTAACGCCGTTACTTGTAACCTGTTACCGTCAAGATTGCAGAACGGAGAAACCTTTATTGGTTGTAATGCCTTGTGGTCATGAGGGTACGAAAAATATCATACCTTGACTTGAAGACGCTCTGTGTATTTAATCGATTAATGAATACACACACTTCCGCAGACCCACAGTCTGCTAATCCCGCCGGCAGTGCGGAAACCGACTCGATGTAATCGTAGACCTCGAGAGACTTGTACGCCTGCACCGTGTCGGCCGTGAACTGGCTTGGCGAAAAAACTAAATAAACGACGACCTGAGCCGTTGACTTCCGTGGCAGCAACTGTACGTCGGAAGTCCAGCAGGCCCTGTTTACGGCGTACGGATCCTCGTAGGCAACGCCGTCCACGCACAGTTTGTTTCGATACCGCTACCGTTCAGGCTCGGGCAACGAGCTCAAATAGTCGGGCATAGCATACGACATACGTTATGAGAAAATACGACGCACAAATAAAGATACAAGCGTCCCTACAACGTCAACAACGAGCGCTCGCCATAGAGTGCAATGGCGAAAACATGGACAGCCGGGCTGCTTTTGCCCACATAGCTACCGCGCATGCGCGGCCTTCCGGCCGTGTTGGTAAACAGAGCCGCTCCGCGTGTCGGTCTATAGGCTAAGCGGCGCCACCAGAGTAAAAGCTCACGTTTGAACAATGCAGCCGCCACTCCCAGGGGTACCCAATATTTCTTGCTTCAGTCGCTAGATGGCGCCAAACCAAACAGCATTGCAGGTTGCCTATACGCACGACGCGAAACCTGTTGGGTCTCGTATAAAACGAATTGTCAAAAGGAGTTTCTCAAGCTGTAGTGTAGCTTAGTGGAAAGGCACCCGCTTTATACGCAGCGGGCCTAGGGTCTTACCAGAATGTGGGCATGCTATTTTTTTTTGACGAATATATTTTGTTGTTGAACATTCGGCGACATTTACGACATTTCTTTTTTACTATTATCACTGAAAAAAAAAAAGAAATGTTGTTGGCGAAATTTTGCTGAACTAAATGGAATGAGACTCCCTTTCCGGAGGTGCAATGAATATATACAGCGGGGCTTTGGTTAACGTCTGACGCCGCGAAGCGGCGTCCACACGGCAACCAAAGCAAGTGGGTTAATAGTTTTGTAATGAGCAGCCGCAGACTGTCGCTACGAAGCGGCGTGAACTCAGGCGGGGGTGGTGGTGGGTTAACACGCTCCCCAGTGATCAGGGGCGGATCCAGACCTCCATTTTAAAGGGGGGGGGGGGGGGGCGGTTCCTCGGTGTAAAACGGCCGGGGGGGGAGTGTTTATATTTTTTTTTAGTTATCGTTTTTACTAAAATCTGATAACATAATATAGATCTTGAGAGCTTTTGTATCGGTTTACCTGTCGGGGATGAACTCTTTGAATTAAAACCTTTCGGGTGACCACGCTAGAGGTAAGTATGTAGAAAATTGTGGTGGCACTATCCTTTCTGAACACCATAACGCAAGGAATTTTGTAGTTCATAGAAAACGGGATTACTCCATTCGCGTGGCAGCGCGCTAGAAACAGAAAAAGAAGTTTAGCTACTTGGGGATGAATGTCTGGTGCTATAGCGGCTGTGACAATTGTAGACAGTGTAACTTGATGGCTCAGATATCCCCGGCGGGGCTACAACTTTTGGGCTCCTTTTGTTTGAATATTTATATATTCTCGTTGCACCCGCAGAGCATGTACGGAGAGCCAACCTTTGCCAACTATACGGAGGAAGCTCATGCAGCTAATGACAATGCGAGAAACGTTTTAATCTAAAACTCGGCTGTTCTTTGAGATTAAGCTTGGCATAGTAGTTAGAACTTTATATTCAGTGCCAAAATGCAGAACGTGGTTTTAAAGCATACTTTTCAATGTCGCCGGTTGCTTCAATGGAGCGAGTACGTTGCAAACAAGCGACAAAAATGGCTCGGCGGCTTCGACGCTGCTCGCGGCGTCAAAACACTGTTGACGCAGCGAGCGAAACGAACGCTGCAAGTTCGTCGCTTGTTCGCCGTAAATTTGGAATGTCCAGAGCGCAGCACATGCGGCATTGCCAACCCAAACTCGTGTTTTCACGTGTCCTGGATGCAACTTGAGAGAACGAAAGCGAATAATTGCTGAATATTTTTGAAAGCATGTTGCAGTTCGGCAACTATACCTTTTATACTTAGACAAAACCTTAAACCAGCAATGGGTCCTTTTAAATTATATTCAATTGCACTTCGTCTGGATATTTTCTGTATGAAAGGAACACTTAATTGTTTCTGGATAGTTAGCTCATTCGTCAGGGTCGAGAGGACAGGTGCAGAGATATGATGGGGCAGAGCGGTTGTCCGGTCGGCGAATCTCAACTCGGCTAAAGGCCGATCACGACTGCAGCATGGATGTTTGGGAGTCGGTGTTCACTCGAACGGGCACAGGCATTGTCTATTTAATTTATGGATAGTCGCATCTTTGAATGGGCTCGTTTTCCGCAAGTCCCTAGGTAGAGAATTCGAAGCCGCAGTTGCAAACCAGCAAGCCGCGCCTCTGTTCCGTTCGACACACACATATTCGCTCCTGCAAAGCCGCGCGAAAGCTCTATTGTCAATCCACAGAAGCCGCGTTTAACTCGAGAAGTAAAGACGGCGCCAAGGGGAGACAAGGGGTAGCGGGCGCCTTTCCTAAAATATGTCCCGCCACCTTAAGTTGAAACTGCATTGAATACAAATAAATGCCTACGGCGTCGGCTTGAGGACCCCGTGTAAGCAGCCTCTAGCCTTTAGAGGGCTCGTACCGTTTATCTTTCTTTTATTAGCTTCCCGCCACGAGAAGTCGTACCGCAGGCAGTATGAAGCCCATTCGAGGAAACATCTCCCGCTCGTCGGCGCTCGTCGGCTTCTTTGTGCATTCCGCGCTGCGGCGCTGATCCTCAGTGAGGGATGGAGGCGAGGACGAAAGCGGACTTATGTTTAAGCCAAGGTCGTGGGGAAGTCCGGAGCGTCTTCAGGAGAAGTTCAGACCCAGACTACACTGTACCCAGAGCATTTGCTTCCTCTCTCAGTTGAGAAGAAAAGCAATTGGTCACCTGGTTGTACGTCTTCTCCTGGTACGTCCCCTCCGCACTTCCCTTGGCAACGAGCACACCGTGCCAATAAGATACCTTTAGTGAGCCCGTGGGTGACAGCATCTCAAAGCAAGCCAAAAAGACATGCCAAAAGACAAGCCCAGAACCACGAAGAAACCATCAAACGGAAAGTGATGAAAAGGCGGCCGCTAGAGAGGAAGGATAATCCGCTGTGCATAGGATCGCACCCTTGAGGAAGGCTGCTTGGCGTCTGCTTTTGGGAGTTTTCAGGGCACAAATGTTTCGCAGACAACCTCCAAAGAGAGAGAGAGGGAAAGGGGGCTAGATATGTTCAAGGTATTTTCCCCCCGTGCTCGACGTGCTGGCCTTGTTTGGAAGTGTGCCTGCAGTCGAGGACCCTGATATTTGGTGCGCCTCCCCACTGTCTCTCCACTTCGAAACTCCTGGCGCCGTCCCTGTCGGGAAGACGTACCATGACCTTGACGGAGATAAACCCCACTTTGGAAGCGCCCAGCAGGCGCGTCCACCCACCGCTGTTTTAGTCTTTTGTTCCTCGCGTCGATTGCTTACGTTTTTTCTTCGAGCTGACAAAGAACTCCGGGGGGGGGGGGGGGGGGGGGGGTTGCCTGGCGAGGCGTTTAAGTGGGGCGATCGCCCCACCGCCCCCCCCCCCCCCCCCCCCCTTGGATCCGCCACTGCCAGTGATCCACGCGCAGTCCGAAAAATGGTGACCTAAATGGCATGAGCTCTCAGCGTCGTGCGTATAGCCATTTCCGGTCAAGGGGCACGACGTTGTGCGTATAGTTTTCCTCATGCATAAAAGTGTGTGGTACAACGCACAATAATAGCCATCGCCGTCACTTGTTCGCATACTGTGGCAAAAAGCTCCATACTTTTTTTTCTCGCCCATTCCATTCGCGTTTTGTACCATATCTGTGTTTTCTAACTGAAACCCTAATCGAAAAAGAGATATTATCAAGAGCCGTATCGCATTCCTTTTCGGTAACGAGTAACGGACTTCGTGGCGATTTGATCTAGCCATGAATAAAAATATTTGTTTACTTTATAACATGTACAATTTCTAGTCTCAACAAAGGCATATATCGCCCCCAACCAACACCTCTTAAGTCGCGTGCACACTGCCGTTACATCATACAGTCCGCAGATACATGTTTCTTCTTTGTACGATGGTCGTGTTACACTGGTCATACGAAACTGTCTGCAGATACGTGCGAAGCATGCGTACGTATAAGGCAAACATAAGCTTCGAAGATGCTCGCGGTCTGTACGCACATAATTGTCATCACGCCTGCAACGAACACCGTGCCTTTCGTATGATGTAGTACAAGCAATGGGACTGCGGCTTTAAATAACATAGCCGTTGACTTGAATTTTAGGCGTCATCCCCCCCCCCCCCCCCCCCCCCCGAAAAAAAAAGGACAACACTGGGCGCTGATTGGACACGAGTGCTGCGTCAGCGTTCGGCTGACACTCGTGTCCAATCACCTAGAGCATGAGTCCCAACCGAGCGCGGTCATGTCCAATCAGCGTCCCGGGTTGACCTTCTTCAGGGCTTATTTTCCTTGACGAAAGCGGGGTTCTCGAAGTCCTTGTCGAGCCAGTGCCTGCCGATCCTAGGCACGGCGATGGCGGGTTCGTCGAGCTTCGGATCTCGCTTCGACTCCCAGTGCCGGGAGACCAGGGCGGCCATCTTGATCAGGGGAAGCTCGAGAGACAGGGAGAATGCCGTGGCAGCCAGCAGGCTCAGGACGAAGTGGTGCAACAGCACGTATGACTGCGCGTTAGAAAGAGAAATCGTGGAAGTAAAGTTTAGCGGCATTTGTTCGACATTCGGGCACATTTGCGACCCAGCAGACCCTGTTTTCGTTTTTTATTCCGCGTGTAGGGAGTATTCACGTGGCGTCGGGATTTAGTGCGGGCCTGCTATACGCCATAGCTGAATCGGCTTTGCGCTTGGTGCGCGCACGGAATCGTGTGGAGGCGCATTTCTCCCTGCCGTACTTGGCATCTGTCATCCGATGTTTTCGCTGTACAGTTTTTTTGTGTGTATGTGTGTTCCTAGGTTAGTGTGCATACACTCTAAAAAAAAAAGGTATATTCTAGCACCCCTTGTCACTTACGACACCCCAAATCTCCAGTTGGATGTACAGCGCACTGACGTGTACCGACGCTACCAAATTTTACGAAAGGCGTTATAGCCGAGTTGTACAACTTATTAAAATAGCTAGTGTAAGTGTGACTTAGTGCAAAAAAAGTTATTGTTTTTTTTTTGGCTCAACTGCAAAACCTCTGGGTTTTTTTTTCCTGTACACTTTGAGACGTACTTTAGCTGTTTAATATGTTATATCGCACCGTCATCAACCCTCTCGCAAAAGTTGAAGCAGTCAGTTCGACATCAGCGCGCTGTACATCCAACTGAAGATTTGGGGTGTCGTATATGTGACAAGGGGCGTAAGAATATACCCTTTTTTTTTAGAGTGTACGGCCAATAGTCACTGCGCGTGTTCTAACGTATATGTGCCTGAATCAGCGAACGTGCTTGAGGACGATTTTCCGAAGACCCGTACCCCTGAGAGACCTTGTATGGACAAGAGGCCGGACGCACTTGCACGGAGTGTCGGCAAACTGAGCATGAAGCTTGATCTCAGGAGCCATAGTTTAAAAAATCATACACCCCCCTCCTTTCCACACACACAAAAAAAAATAAAATTAAAAATAATAATATTAAAGAACGTAAGTTTTTTTTTTTTTTTTTTTTTTTTTGCGTGGGCACGACACCGTTAGAGCGCGATTCAGCGATCCCCGTTCTTTCCTATAGATTTAAAAATTGAAACTCTATACTGCTTATCTACGGCTCCAACCAGTCAACGAGTCTGCAAGAACGCAGACCGATCCCACCCTGTCTAAACATTGCCGATATCATTTCCGCGTGAACTAAGTTGAACAGTGTATGCATCGTATGTTGTTTGGGATGCATAAGTGCATAACAAAATTTAAATAATTATTATTCTATCTTAGTGAATGTAAATGCACGGAAAATCCCGAATCTTTGAATAAGCACTGCGAAGGTTTCCACAAGAACTCTCCAAGGGAGTATGCATCTCACCATGGCGTCGTAGGACAGGTAATAAGAATGCTCCCTGACGCCGTTAGAGTAGACAATGACCAGCGGGCTGACCATGTACAGCGAGTAGAGGAGTCTGCTCAGCGGTAGCCAGCACTTGAAAGACAGCAAGTTGTTCAGCCAACCTGAAAACCCGCGAGCATGCGCACGAGCGCCTCTTGCATTTGGTTTACATTTAGCGTTGGGTTACGTTAAGACACTTAATATACACCATTTAAATTTTGTCAACCAGAATATGGCTAGACACGGGTCATTTACAGCTTAGATTGGGTAGTCTAAAAGTGATAGTTACGTCAGTGTACGGTACCCCGCACTGACGATGTTGCATTAGGTTATGTGGGGATATGTTAGACTATGCTATGTATATTAGGCTGTGTTTAGCAACATAGCAATACGTTAGGTCAAGCTGCCTATTGCCAGGCTGTTCTACGTTAGTGTCACAGAATTCAATAACTATTTTTGTCCTTCAATGGTTATGGTGTTGTCCGTTCCTGTGTTTGTGAGTGGGGTGCGCGAGCGCCGAGGACAGGAGCGCGAGCTTAGCCCGCGCGCGCGAGGTTTTGTGGAACACAAACCGCGGAGCGAGGCTGCGACGGTGTGGATGGTCGGCGCTGAGCAGATCCGCTTCGGTATGGTTGTTCGAACACCGAGAAGGTATTCGACGGAGAGGGGTGTGAGTGCTTGTGAGTGAGTGTTGTGCGTCACTACGACACCCAAGCCACCATGGCTTCTCGACCCCGACTGGCTGCGCAACGAACCGGACCTCCATCTGCACCTTGGAACGCTGACTCGGCTCTCCCCCTCCAAAACTGTATGACGACCTCGATTTGACCTGAGATATTTTTTTTCTTTCTTTCTTTCGACTGTGTGTACGTCCTGTGCTCCCTTCCCTTACTTTTGAATTATTTTATATAAAATACTGTTCGTAACGTCGGCATGCTTTGCTCTTAATTCCTCCCGCCTCTCAGGATGTCTATCGCCAAGGTGTGGTCCTAACACCTGGACAGCGGTCCAAGTCAAATTCCAAATTTGTTTGTTTAAATGGGATCTTTAACCTCCGAACCTGTGACAGTTAGCTATGTTGGACAGTGTAACTTTAGGCAAAGCACGAAGGAATTGAAACTGGTGGAACAGTGAATGTGTTCATTCATGTTCTTCTTATTGTGTGTGTGTGTAAAGGGGGTGTATGCATGTATGTTAACACTGATGTAACAGCGGCACTACAGATAATCTGATGCGGGCTACTCGTCTTACTGTGGTGCCGCTACTCTCCGAAGTTAAATTTTACCATTACCATTGCAAGCTAAGCCTCTTAGCGAAACTCATCTGCTTCTGTAAGACTTCCAGGATGCTCCATCTATAGTGCAACTTTATGTTTGTTTAGATTAGGAGAGGTTAGGGTAGGTGGGGTAGGCTGTGCTACATCGATTATACGATGTAGGTCATGTTAAGAAAGGTAGCATTATGTTATGTGGGGTCACGTTAGGCAAGTTTAGTACAGGTTAGGTTGCTTTACGTTTTTTTTTACGTTATGTTATGTTAGGTCCCGCCAGGGCGGGTTAGGTTACATTACGTTATGTTGCGTTAGGTCAGGTTGAGTTAGGTTAGGCTGAGTTAGGTAATGTCAGGTTAGGTTACGTCAAGCTAGGTAAGGTAAGGTTGCGCTATGTTACGCTAGGTTAGGTTAGGCTAAATTAGGCTAGGTTAGGTTAGGTTAGGCTACTTTAGATCTCCGGAAGATTATCCGAATGCGTCACTTCATCGGAAACATTGCACGCGTACCGCCATGTCCGGACGCGCAGGCGACAGTCATCCAGGACAGAGCGGTGGCCCAGAGGATTCTGGAGAAGGCACCGTAGACCGCGGACACGTCCGTGCTCGGGAGCTCGAGGCCCCTGTTCCACTTGAACGGTGCGTGGATGATGTAAAGCACGAGGGCCAAAGAACACAGCCAGCCCAGCACCGAGACCGCCTGGCATAGAGAGAAAGTCGTCACAGACCAAAAATGTACTGAGTGTTCTTCATGTTTCTCCACAAAACAAATGGCGTCTAATGAGTTGGTAAAACGAAGTACATTGCGTCAGGGGACGAAAACAAAAAGTAGACTTACACTGCAAAAATTAATTACGCATTGCCGAAACCTCAGGCTCTTCGGAATGTCTGGCAAATGGTTAAAACAAGATGTAAAAAAAACAAAAACAAAAAAAAACAGGGTATTAAAGAAAACAAAAGACAATGAACGCGAAAACGTTGTTGCCTGTGATGGGACGCTTTAGGTTAGTAAAAGCAGACGGAGTGCGCCTGCGGCAGTTCTCAAGCGGCACCACTATAGACCCATCAGAGAAAAAAGCGCCACCTGTCGTACGCAACAGCAACTAGTGGCAGCCGCCATGCTGCAGGATAGTGCGCGCCGCTGCATACGCTGCGTTGGCCGTAGACGCTAGTCAATTCCTGCCCACGATGCCAACGTACTGCTGCGTACCCCTCTGGAAGCAGAGTGGGTATCTGGGCAAGTCTGGCATTAAGGTACGTATTCGGAAATGTACTCGTTATCGGTTGACGACGGCGGCGTAGCCGCGCAAACGTTTCCCTGCTGAAGTGCAAAAACGGAACACGAACACGCTAAGCTTCCTTGGGTGTTTGAGTCAGGTGTTTTTAATCTCACTTTGTTGCGTTTGGAGGTAGAGTTTTCAAGTTTCAGCTAGCTTGAAGAAATCAAGGCGTCAACTACAAATATAGTGTTGCTCGTGGTATCGCTTGTGGACGTGACAGCTTTGCGAGCGCCTAGCTTCAGGTATGCACGAGCTCGCGGTGCTTCAAACTTGCGCGTGTAAATTATATGTTAGGTACGCATGAAGCCATACGACCTGACGCTTTAACCTGCCTGTAGCGCAGACATCTGTGCAGCGCGTGCTTTATGCAAAGCAACATGCACGCGCTTGCAACTTCTTCTTCACTGCAAAATTTGCTGCTCTACATTTCCCAACTCTAAAATCCCCATCAAGAAAAAGGGACTCGACGTATCGAGTAGGAACTTGAGTCGAATACGTCCTTTACTGGTTAACTTGCGCATTGAAATTTTAAGTCTTAATTCCAAGTAAAAAAACGCGATTTGACGAGCGACGGGTCGAGCGACGGCACATGCGACGAAAGTCGGCTACGAGCGACGAAAATGTTTCATTGTCGCTTGTCGCGTCGCTTGGTTTGGGATTTCTAGGAAACGACGCTCATCGCCTTCGTCGCTCGCTCGTCGCTTTTATGCGGTACGTGCTTCATCGCGCGACTGTCCGAGCGACAGCGAAGCGGGACCCCTGCGCCTGTTTTGTCGCACGTCCGGAGAGTACTGGCGACTTCTAACTACAGCCCGTAAATTATAACCGGTTCCGATCATTTTTTGATGACATGTTTGATGTCGTAACTACAAAGATCTTAGTAATTACCTTTTTCTTGCGTAATTGGCCTTTATAGATGCGCGGCGACCACGAACCCCTCAACGAGAAAGTTGTAACTTCTGTCGAATTGTCGTTCCGAGTCCGATCGGCTCTTGAAGAAGCGATATACCCCATCATCTTTAACGGCTGGGAGCTGGGAAAGGTCTTTTATCCAACCCGTGATCGGGAAAACGCTACCTGCAGCCATACAGAGGCGAAGGGATCGACGAAACAAGAACGCTACAGTCAAAACAACCATGCCGGCTGCAACAGGCGCGTCCTTCCCAATGGCGCCAGCCGCCCAATGTTGTTGGACTCGTTCAGCGGATTTTCGCTGTTGCCAGATTTTTTGAAAGGGGTCTATTGAAAACAAGCGTACGTGTACATAGTCAATGACTAACGCATAGAAGATCCAGCGGAGCACCAATAATCAGTCTTTATATAATGAGTTTAACGCTAATGAGTGGTAATGAAGCCCTTTATGGTCATGAGGTCACAGTGGCAAACGTACATTCGCAACTTTGCCAGACAGCATTGACATGGGATCATAAACCTTGTCCCCACCCTTCTCATTGGTTGAACGGATTAACATAAAACGAACAATTGGTGTCCCGAGTGCATGGCGGGGAACTGTAGACGCAGGAGCTTGTGCGATTGCGCGACTAGTGGTTTTACACTTCACTTGCGGGCCATTATGCACCAAGACCTAAGCCGACAGATACGGTTCGGATATATCATTCCATGGCCTTACCTCGCCCGACCTTTTCTATATCAGATAGTTTCTGTCCTATTTGTTCTTGCCCCTACGCGAACGTTGAGCATCTCCTATCCGCTTGCCCCCCATAGCCATCCCATCCCCTCACTATTCCGCCCCCCTCCTCCACATTGGAGGGTGTGGCTGGCCTCGATGGCTCACGTCGGTCAGCTGGCTCTGGTCCGCTTAGCAAATAATAATTGGGTTGTGTGTGTGTTTATACAGCCTAGAACTTGGTCTGCCTCACAGGGGCGACGAGTCTCCCAGCTGTAGATGAGAAATTTAGCCAGTGCAGTACAACCGCTAGCCTGGGGTCTTTAACGTGCACCACGCAGTAGTGGTACACGACCGCACGCCGGTACGATGCTCATCCAGATCAAAACGGGCAGGGGTGGGGCTCGAACCCAGGATCCCTGGGTTCTGCTCCGCTTAGCAGAGGAGCACCTCTAGGGTTATTATCTGAACCAAAATAAAGCGATCTCTCTCTCTGGCCTCACCTTATGAATGCAAAGTTTCCTTCGACTGGACAGGACTTCTCCGGCCAACACGCCAACCCAGAAGACTCCAGATCTTGTGTAAGGCCGAATGTACACCATCTCTGTGTACTCATTTCGAGTACTGAAAGAAACATCACAAGTCGTTGGTGTTGCTATGTTTGTTTTTTGTTTCTGTGCGCCTATAAAAGCTGTAAGCAGCTCTTCAAGCCACCTTGTGCCCGCTGGTGCTTGGGCGCTTCACTTAGAAATATTTCACGTTTTTCAAGCGCGTCTCTATAGGTGTATCCACACGACGGACCAAATTGCTCTTTTGGCCCGCGGGCCGCGCATTATGTGATCTTACGTCACCGGTTTTATGAGGTCCGCCGGCGGTCCGCGGCCCACGCTTGTGAGAAATGCCAAGCGACTTTTCTCGCCCGGACCTTGGCGGCGGACCGCGGCGTTTTTAGTATAATTGAAGCGCTAAGTCTGGCAACAAGCTGACTTTTGTTGTTTGGATTGGAATCTAAATCCAAAGTCGTTTTCTTTTGGCGCCAATTGTGGAAGACGAAGAAGACGAACCTTTTTTTTGTGCGACGATGCAACTTTTTACTTCATCGCGCTCATAAAGCAATTTCCCGCTCCGTGGGACAATAGTCGCGACAACTACCCAAACAATAATTTTAAGATGTCCCCATGCCTTTTTCGGTTCACTTAAGTCGTCCTCGTCCTCAATATTCAACGCCAGGGCCACCGCGGCCAAACGTCTCTTTCGTTCAACCTCCATCTTGGCTCCTTACAAATAGCCTCAAAGCAGCTCGCTGCATGCGTTTGGCGGAGCTGTGAGGTCGAGGGTTAGACCGGCCTGTTCGCTTTGTCGTCTGTTCTTTTGGTCCGCCGTGTGGATGCTCATTGCAACCGGGCGGCCCGCGGGCCGTGCATCACGTGATCAATCGGTCCGCGGCCCGGTCCGTCGTGTGGATACACCTTAAGCAAGCACAGGGGCTCCAGTCGCAAAGTTATTTATGTATTTATTTTATAATTTAAGGTACTTGTTAATTTTTTTATTGCTGTAGGCGCAGTAATGCAAAGGCGGTATGTAGTCATAGTCATATTTATTTTGGAAGAGAGAGACAAAATCGCCTTTGCGACACCAGCATGTGTAAACTTAAGAGAGCGCAAACACTGCGGGGGGAAGACTGAAAACTCAGCGTGCAGTGGTCGGTTTCAAGATCCTTGTGTTTTGTCTATTTTTTTCGTTTTTAAATCATATTAAAACATGTTTGAACTATTTAATATCTTTTGCCACGTCGAAAATAAACGCCATACAAACAATACACTGAACAATATACGAAGACATACGTCTTGCAAAACTAATGAGTTTTTCCGGATTCTGCTTAGCTTGGCTCCGAGTTATTTTTATCAATAGAGAACAGGTTGTGTATATACGCGTTAAAAGAACTCTTTTTGCGGTTCTCAAGGTAATGCTGACCGTTGCATAAATATTGCAGGATGGAAAGGCAGTTTTAGCAAATCCTTCACGACTACCCAATGCCGCTTCCAAAAACACCTATCAGCTGAAACTTCTTCTCAATATCAGCCTTCCGCAGCAATACCTCTCGATAAAATGTCGCAAGGCTTCGTCTGTATTGTTGGTTGCCATTCTTGAAAGGAAGCTGAAGCGGTTTTGTATTCGAAACAACACTCTTAAATCGTCTTCATTTGACCTCCGAGATCTCGAATATCGAAATTATTATTTTTTTTTTAATTTGGTGTATGGATGCAGCAGAAAATAATTTTCAAAGTACCGTTGAAGAGCCTCCTTCCCGTAGCGGGACGTCACAAAATTGAGTTTTCGGTATCTCCGTTCTCACGCACCTTCAGCGCCTATCAACGACTTGCACGCGCACTGTTGTTATTTTTTGTGCTAAATAGCAGAAGAAGACGTACCGACTGATGCCAGTGCGGGCAAGCTCGCCATTGCACGCGCGGCCCTCGAGCGACATGCGCTCGGCGCCCGAAAGATCCTCTTATGACGTAACGACTGGTCGGAGGTTTTTCGTGCTTTCTCCCATTTAGTTACATTTTAGAGGAAAATGAAAGTGACATTCAGATTCACTAAATAAAACTACACTAGAAGTAAAAAAAAAGTTTTTCTACTTCAATTTATGAGACCAGATAACTAGGCTAGCTGGTGTGTGTTCATCTTGAAACAGAGCGAACGTTACACGAACGGAAGGAAGAAGTGGACGAAACAAGCACTGACTAACAATTGAGTGTTTAGTCTTGATTAACCGCGAAATCAAAATTAAGAACACACACACACACAAACACAACTTTTCAATCATGACGGTCTCTGGGTGCGTACCCGGGCCTGTACTCGCGGAGCATCCAGGTGGGGCCGAGGTCGAAGAGAAGCGTCAGGGCGAACGTGAGCGCCATGGACGCCAGGATAGCCATGAGCACGAGCAGACGTCCCGCCGCCGGCCGACTGCGGGAATGCGAGAAGGCGCATTTCATGTACGCGATCCTGATTTTAGACGTTGTTTCTTTCTTTTTTTAGATGCAACTTTGGTGCACTATAGCGGGCTATAGCTTAGAAAATTGCGGTCTACCGATATCTTTTTTTGTATGCGCAAGGCTTCAGAGCATAAATTTCGCGAATTAGGTTACTTATGGAAATACTGGTCTAGCGCTTTTTAATTCGAGTCGGGGCTTCCCCACGGTAGAAATCACTCTGATGAATGTGATGCTGCATTTACGATTAGGTATTCGTCTGGATTTTTATGTTCCACAAAATTCCGAAGAAACGTCTACTCATAGTGGAGAGACAAAGAGGAAAAATATAGGGTGGGCGTTCTTTCGGGGTTTTACGATGTACGCCTTTTCCTAACTGTCTTTCGTGTGCCAAATTTTATTACACTTGCATATGTCTTGTTGTATACATTCGACTCGCGATATGGGCGCACTCTTGGAGCACCGTGTTTCGAGGCAACAAACCTCCACCTCTCTATGGCGGGGCGGATCTCGTACATGTTTAAAATTCATATAAGCCGTCTGTTACCCGACTCATAGCCATCTGGTGACAAACAAAACGGCTCAATGGCGCGCCCTTGCACGTGGATGTTCGTAATGCCTTAGGAAGGTGATGAAGTCTGAGGCGTGATTTTGCCGACATCGACATATTAACTACTTCTAGCAAAATTACACCCCACAATTCACGTTTAATATCTGCTCTCGAGATAACGAACATGAGCGATACTTTCAGTCACCATTTCTAACCATAGAGAAATAAAGGTAGAATACACATTCATATTGTTCAGTGGCTTTACAAGTGCCGCTGCAGCACCGAAAGATGGGGAATTATTAACATGAAACAAGCTGTTTCCAGATTGAATGTTTAACGCCATGTAACAATTACGTTCGTTAGACAAAACATATATACTAGTGTCAGCAAGTACGAAAATTATGAATTTCTTAATTCAAGAAAATTTGTATAGGACCGCCCCACAGGAGTCTTAAAGGAGCTGTGCAACGATATTCAATTGGAATGTTTTTCACTATACACGAGCTTACTGGCACTAGTGGGACTCAAGGATACTCGCACGCAACGCCACTGGCCAAGAAACTCCTTTGTTGCGGTGAAATTTCAAGGACAAAAACAATCAGTTTCGTTCGATCTCTCCTTTGCAAAATTTGATGACGTAACGTGGGGATCGCAGTACACCCAAGTGACGATATTTGAGTGCGGTTCATAGATTGGACCCGAGCATTGCGTGGGCACTCGACTTGGGCTCGTGATAATTGCTAGCTCGAGAAGCATTCGGGTAGTGACCCGTGTCCAATCGCTGCAACGACGACAACAGCCGGGCCATAACAATGTCTAGAACTCAGCGCGTGTCCTGCGCTTTGCCAACCCCAGCGCGTGGCTATGATCAACATTGGCGGCATATAATCGGCTCCAGATTACGTGGCCGCTTGTTCTGGCTGCGAGTTGAGGGGGTGAAAGCTGCTCGTTTTTCTTAAATTTTTTTCTGGGACTTCTATTGCGTGGGGTGAAAAACGAACGCGTGTTTCATAGGTCATTAACGTTAGGGATCCGTTTTAAGCGGGATTTGCGCAAAGTACAAAAATTGTTGCATCGCTCCTTCAAATACGCAACGTCACATTTACCAAAATGTTTACCAAAGTGGGGTGCCCAATTTTTTTTTTAAGAAGGCTATCATTATTGGATGGCATAGTTTCTTTAAATATAGTTCAAGCTGTCTACATGAGCGGCATGTTTTAAGATCAAAAGAACATTTGTTGAGTGCTTGGTTACCGTTTACCGAAACTTCGTTTCAGCTTAAAGGGGCACTGACACATCAAAATCATATTTTTTTTTTATTATCCGAAACGATTGAAAACGATGCCGGGACATTACCCTCAAAATTTGAGATTTGGGAATTCAGTATTCGTGAAGTAAAAAAACAATTTCCAAATGCCGAATTCGAAGTTCCCGCGCGATCGGCGCCGGTGCCTTGACGTCAAAAATCGCGGAGACCTGAGAGTCGACTTCCTTTCACCTCTCCCTGCTGTTGCCATGGCGACCCAAAGCGAGGAGGAAAGGAGCGAGCGCCCGGCGTTGCGGCGGACCGGTTTTGAGCGGTGTCGCCTGTTTTCCGTTGGAGGATACAAATCCAGGAGACGGCACCACAACGAACTCCCGATTTTTGGTATTTCAAAAAGAAGGGCCGTAGTGCGTTCGCAATTGCGTTAAAAAACATGTTTTAGGATTGCCGTAATTAAATGTTATAGAGATGTCGCCTACGAAGCTTCTAAATTTCCTGATTTTTGACGTCACCGATCAAAAGAAGCGAGGAGGCGAGACGCGGGAAAATCAAACGCCAAAAATAAAAAGGAAGGCGCGCGCGCGCGCGCGGGAAAATTTTTTTTCGCGATGCGGTTTTTTTTGCGTGTCTATGACTGCAACGTGCATCGTTTTAGACAATAAAAATAAATACGACCTTTGGGGTGTCAGTGCCCCTTTAAGCTCAGGGGCAGATGACGATACGAGCAAACGGGTCAAAAGCGTGGGTTACCGGGTCATTTTTTTGTTTTGTTTATGATTTGTTAAAGGTGTACTCCGCCGATTTCTTCATGGTCCCCGATTTGCTTTAAATTTTGCTAAACTCGCCAAACAACATCGCCAAAATAGTATCCCAAATATTAGGTCAAAATAATTTTTTTTCACGAAGTTATTGAATTTACAATTTTGGTCCTCACCGTGTTTTTCAAACTGAAAGTCTCTACTGGCAACAATGAAAAAGTGACGTCATTGGAAGTGCAGGGGTTCACTCTTTGGACTGTAGAATTTGTTCCCAACTGATTTGAAGCAGTTTCATGGTGTCAAATGAATGCCTTGGAAGCTCGCTCCAGTCCCCGCGCTCCAGCACGGAACAAATAATTGGCATATTCTATTTTTTAGACTACTCGCCCGACTGGCAAGCTGAACTTCCACTGACGTCACGGCCCTGAAAAGGGCGGGTATATTTGAATGTCTGTTTTTGCATCATTTTCATTTGCCGATTTCGCAATAACTATTATGAATTTCACGATATTAAATAGCATTCCAGAAAGGGTAAAGGCCTGGGAGTCAGAAAATATAGTTAGTTGAGGTAGCTCAAAAATCGGCGGAGTACACCTTTAAGTGATAATAGAGCACATACACAAATATGACGAACATCATGAGTGTGCGCTTTCGACGCTGTTTGATTGGTCCCATGAGTTCGTAGCACCGGCTGCGTCTAGCCTTAAGGTGAAACAACTTACGACTTAAGTGGATTTGTGTGCTGTCATCACACAAATCCGCTTAAGTCGTACTTGATCTCGTTCTGAATGTTTTCGATGACTTACTGATAGAGCACCGGTATCACAATGACGGCAACGATGGTACACTGCATGGTGAGAGCAAAGAGCCACGTGTGTTCCATGCACTGCGGGAAACAAGAAACAAATATTCGATAATTAATTTGGAGAAAACAAGGTCTTGTTGGCCTGTCAGTCACATTCTCACGGCTATATTCGTTCGTGATATCTTTTTGTACTTTTTTATGTAATGCTATATATTTACAGAATAAAAAAAAATGCTTCACTAGAGTCACTGAATATCAGAAACGCGAGCGACATACATTCGTTTATTCATGTTTGTCTGTTTGTTTGCCTCACTTTTACGAGCAACTTACGGACAAGTACAACCCGATATTTGGGCACGAAATGTCACGGCTCGTCCAACTCCACTGCGTGTCAATACGGGACAAACAATGAATTGTAGAGAGTTTTAGCGAACCGTTTTTTGCACATCCGGTACGATGCGATGGAACACATGCATGTGCAGTTCCTGCACATGTTCGCGCATGCGCAGGAACTGCGCATGTGCGAGTCTTCTGCGGTAGCGCTTGCGCAGTTCGTACCGAGAGGCCTATCGCACCGTATTGGAGGCGCAAAAAACAGTCCCCTAAAACTCTCTAGTGTTCGTTTCCCAGCAGTTATCGTAGGACGATGTGCCCTCCGATCTTTCGCCTTCTCTATGACTCGTGTCTTCAAGCAATTGATTCTTTTTTCTTTGTATCCTCGATCGACAGTTTCGTGCTTTGACCACTAGGTCCAATAATATTTCGTTGAATGGAAAGTTTCATTATGCCGCCCGCCCGCCCTTCGATTGGTCGCCTGCGACGCGTTATTGCTTCTGGCTCATGACGCATACTAGAACGCGCCTCCGTTGGCGTACGCACGCACTGCTATTGGTATGTTGTGAAATAATGGTTTTGCGTGTTTGTTTAGACATCCGGAAGTTAGTCAGCCCCGGTGGGCGTCTGGTGTTAGCGATGGATGATCAATTTATTCAGTGCCCTGACTGCCAGTGACGTGCCGCCGTTTGCGCCCGCAATCCGCTCCCGACCCGCCGATATTTGCTGCGATACTCCGCCTTTATTGACTCAGATACATCCTATCGTGCACCACATTGATGATAGCTTCGTAATAAATGAAACAAAATCATCCAGCTCGGGTTGTGACGGCTCGAATTACCGCTAGGCAGCTTATGAACAGTTTTTGATTACGAACGTCATTTACGTCTTCTGCATTGGTGGGGTCGCAAACATTTAATCGGGATTCGTGCCTGTTCCTTCCTGCCGAGGAAGTTGTTGATGTGCAGGACGTTCCACCACCAGTTGCGGGAGCAGCCCGACAGGAACTTGTTCACCTCGAGTTCCCAGGTGGGTCCCTGTCCCGACTGCGGGAACAGGGGAACCACGAGCAGCGTGGCGAGCACCATCAGGGGCGCCAACCTGGGAGCGGACGATGCACAAAATTGTGCACAACTGTGAGCGCTGTTCTAGGTAGAATATTTAAGGAAGGAGGGAAGGAGACATTTAGAAGCATTGAACGGGTTAATTTCGGTTTTAACTCCTATAAACGAAGGCACTAACTGGTAAAATTGATGGGCATGTTTCATGTCTGTCACCTTTCTTTTTTTTCGTTCTCGGGTTTTAGGCGCTATCCTTTCACCAGGTTGACTGAGAATTCACTTCTCCCTCGATTTGTCACAATGTCCCAAAGATTGCATTCATATCGAATTATTTTTATACGTTTGTACTAATTTTGCACGAGTATTTTTAATTATTTATTTATTTCTGGCCATGTTGTTAATCGAAATAAAGTATATACATATTTAAATATATATTTGTAACGACTGCGTAGATTTTTATGCGGTGTTTGCGTAGCTTACCGTATCTATTGTTTATTTTTGCATTTCTGTTCTTTTTGTGCATTGAGAGTTCAAGAAACGTAGGACGTGACAATTCCAAAGCAATTCGGTATCAGTCCGCAGTCTAAGAAATTGCGACATTAACCGGTAATGATGTCAGTAACGAATCACAAAGCAAGATGCTTAAACATTCTAAGCTACGCCATTGCGTCTTATCTGGGACTAGAAAGTCCCTGACAATTTAAAGGGGTACGGAAACCAAATTTTACAGCCCATCTCTTTACTTGAACATAAAGAGGGTTAAAATAGGACTTCACCGATACCAATATTACGTAGGATAGCGCGAGAAAACGAATTTTAAACTGAATAAAACGATAACCAAAAACCACCTCGTGGATGTCTGTGAAGCTTCGATGGAATGTCGTGACGACAACATGCCCGTAAGAGCGGCGCCACAACGGGAAGTACGGACACTCATAGGCATTACTTAGGCCTGAACGTAGTACCGAGGCGCTTTGGTGAAGAAAGCAACAGCAGAGTTGGCCACCGTTCGTTTTAGTACCGGGTGGTCTTTCCGGCAACGCTTCTTTGGGTTGGTTTGGAAATTGTACGTGCGATGCAATATTCACGCTACGAAATGTCTGTTTAAACGGGCCCGCATGCCCACCTTTCCTGATCACGAGATAGCCGCCTTCGTCGACCGCAACTGATAACGAACTCGATCGCTAAGAAGTCAACACAACTACCGTCGTGGCTGAAAGGCGACGGCCCGTACGGCTCTGCAAAGCGGCGCGCATGTAAACAAATCTCTGCGGCACTTTTCGGGGATGCGGGAGGGAGCCAACGTCCAGGAAGATACGTTTGAAGTAAAAGAGTGTCAGCAAGATCCACGTAAATACCTGTTTGCACTGGGAGCAGAACCGCACTGGCATTGCGTTCTTGGTAACCGCTTCGGGGACGGTCTTTTACAACCGATTTTATGAACCGCTGGGCCTCTAGACAATCGCAACTCGATGCTGACGAGACACTCGGCAGAGAAAGACTGGACCGGCATTGAGTCGCTCCCAAAAACTCCTCTAACGTGTCATGTCGAAATAAAATGGACATCTAAAAAAAGTGTACGTACCCAAGTTGCGAAGGCAATTCATATGGCATTTATTTGAGCTCTATAACAGACACACACACAAAGGAGATTGAATCGAGGAGCGTGTCCCTCCTCGACGAGATCGTTCGTCACCGCTGCATCTGAAAACAAGCTAGGTACGACGAGGGGAAAGACTGGCCTTCTTACCCCAAATTAGAGGTCAGGGTTCAAACTATTCATTCGAGGAGGGTCCACAGAGGTCGCGTGGGCGTATTCCATTCATCAAGCCAGCCGATCGTGTGCAGATGGTCTTGCCCGGATCGTCGAAGTGTTTTGCTATGCCTAGCGTCTGTGGTGGTTGCTTGGTCGGTGGGTCCTTGTCGTTGCAGCTTTTTCAGGTATCCGTGATTCTAGCGTTTATCTCCGCCGCGGCGTTCAGTTTCAATTACTTTTTTTTTTTTTTTGTTTCGTTGGGACGCGCACAGAGAGCACATAGAAATGCACGTTGGTCGTTGCGACGACGTAAGCGAGCGATGTAGCCGGCAATGTAAATTTGATCATAAAAAGTGCGTAAAGCTTTGTAGCTGTCGTAGGCGTGGTCGTAGGATCTCATTGTGCAAAAAACTTGCGATAATTTCGCTTCGTGAATACGTCACTTTTCTTAGGTTTTGCTGTAAGATCGTTTTGTGAATAAGCTCTGTTACCTGTTGCGGACGACGAAGACAAGATAGACGTGTCGTAGAAATACGACTCTAGGCAGAATCGCTTCTCGGCCATCATGGCCTGGGGATGTAGCGGCGCGGCGGCATCTTCGTCCTTATTAATGTCATCTACCCATTGCTCTCGTCGCGTTGGTCGGCGACCATTTCACTCGAAGCCGCTCCGCCGGCTCCGCAATATACTACTACAGCCCTCGGGTACTTCGACTATGCGATGGATGAATGGATAGATCTGGCTAAACCCTGTGAATCGGGCGGTGGCTTGCGCCACCTAGCCAACATTATAAATCTAATTATATGTTTTGAACTCCAAGATTAAATCTCACCCCTGCCTCGATTTTAGCCACCAGTCTGATAACCTCCGCTTGGTTATTTCTACCCGTGTAAAGTCTATTTTTCCTTCACTGTCTTTAAAACCCAATGCTTTGATTAAATCCGCCCGGTCACTGTTAACTGTTGGGTGAAGCCCTTTACAGAAAAGTATTAAGTGTTCAGCCGTTTCCTCCTGCTCCCCACACACACTACATAAAGTGTCCATCTCCTGGTACTTAACCCGGTACGTCTTAGTCCGCAATACTCCTGTCCTGGCCTCAAACAACAAAGAGCTTCCCCTAGAATTATCGTAGATATTTTCTTTGCAAATTTCCTGTTTGAACATTCTGTACGCCTCCAGTGCTGGTTTTGTCTGCATACCCGTTTCCCACAGACCCTTCTCTGTTTCTTTTATCCTTTTCTTAACCCGTAATTCCTGGTTGGCGCCCCCACTGCCGCCCAAATATTTGCTTGATAATTTTCTAGTTCGCTTTCTCCATTTGGTATCTACATTCCTCATGTACAAATAACTGAAAACTTTCCTAGCCCACTGCTCTTCCTCCATTTCCCTCAAACGCTCCTCAAATTCTATCTTGCTGCTAGCTTCCCTGCCCTCGAATGACGTCCATCCCATGTCGCCTTGTACCCCCTGATTCGGCGTATTTCCATGAGCTCCCAAAGCAAGCCTACCTACGCCCCGCTGTTTAATTTCTAACTTTGCTTGAATATCTGGTCTCATGCACAGGACCGCATTGCCGAAGGTCAGGCCGGGAACCATGACCCCTTTCCAAATCCCCCTCACCACTTCATACCTACTGTAATTCCACAGAGCCCTATGTTTCATGACGGCTGCATTCCTGCTACCTTTCATCGCTACTTGTTTTTCATGCTCCGTTAGATACTCAACACCATTATTTATCCATACCCCAAGATACCTGTACTTATCCACTACCTCCAACATGACCTCTTGTATCCTATGCTCGCCACCATCTTTATCATTAAAAATCATCACTGCCGATTTTTCTTGACTAAATTTAAGACCTAGTTTATCTCCCTCTGTACCACAGATATCCATTAATTTCTGCAAATCTTCTTTGTTGTTAGCCATTAGCACTATATCATCTGCATACATCAGCCCCGGTAGTGATTGTTTAATCCATTCACCTTGCTTGATGAAAGAAAGGTTGAAGCCAAACCCGCTCCGCTCTAGTTTGTTCTCCAATCCCTGTAAGTATAACATGAACAACAAAGGCGACAAAGGGCAGCCTTGCCTAAGCCCCCGCTCTATCTCTATACACTCCGTGCGGGAACTATAGGGGGCGCTTTGAAAAACGCGCGCAGCGCCGCTAGCGGAAAAGCTGGCGTTCGACTGTGAGGCGCGTTCAGCCGTCTGCGGAGCCTTTTCGGATGCCAAGCTGCGGCGGCGGAAGCGCGCACGGACGAAACTTTTGCTTTTTGAACCGATAAGTTGAACGTGACGTTGCATGAGTGCTGGGGCAGAAGGGCATTTAGCTGTTCTCCACTTCTTATATATTGAGTTTGAGTCGTTATTAGGGGTAATTTCTCTAGTTGCGGCCGAAGAAGGAGTTGGAGCAATTTTCCGAAAAACAAGACAGCCGCCACCTTAATTGCTCTGAGTGGGAAATTTATTTCGCTCGTCGCTGTAAACCTAGGACTGCTGGAACGATGATATTTGGAGGCGAGTGAGATGTTAGTTTGTGCACGAAGAGTGGTGTGAAAGTTGGGTTTCTAACGAATAAAGAAACAAAGCTGTACGGGATATAAAATATTGGACCCAAAATGTTGTGTTATAGCGGGCTGTGCAAAGTGCAGATTTGGGCACACAGGTGCTTGGACTTGACAGTAACATGACACAACACTTAATATACAAAAAAAAAAGGTGGCATAGGGAAACCAGGTGAAATTTTGGTTTGGGCGGCGTAACTCAATGGGAACCGGTTTTGACCATGAAAAGGTTGTCAAGAGAATGCCACTGGTCGGGGGAGGTGGAGACTTTACAGGTAGGAAGGGACTAGTGGGCGGGGACTGTACTTCCAATCGAAACAACTTTACGAAAGGTGGTTCCAAAGCCGACAAAGTTGTCGGCCAAAACACGGTTTGGCCGCCAAGGGCTCTTGCGGTCAGCTGTCGTGTATTAACCTGTTGCGTGAGGTGCTGATTTGCGGCGCACAGGTACTTTGACATGACCGTCACTTGGCACAACACTTATTATAACAAAAAGAGTTGGCATAGCGAAACAAGGTGGAAATTTAGTTTGGGCGGCGTAACTAAATGGGAACTGGCTTTGACAGTCATCGTGGGAGATGCACACTTTACAGGTAAGAAGAGACCAGTGGACGGTACTTCCAGTTCGAACCACTTTGCGATAGGTGGCTTTAAAGCCGAGAAAAAAAAATTGTTGTCTACAGAACTCGGGGTGTCAGCGTTTCCACATCCAAAAGGACGCTGATCAAGAAAGAAAGCACACCACATAAACTTCCATACTCAAACGTCGATTCTCCAGTGATTCCGAGTTTCATTGTTGTTTTCTTTAGATTTATATTTGTCACTTTTTTTACCGTTCGAATCTTTCTTCATGAAGTACAGATTGCGTGCCATACTTGTCCGGAAATATCATCGACACCTACGGTGGGGATGAAACTTCTTTGGAGGGCATTCCTCCAACGAAATAGGCACTGCATACCCGCGAGTGTGGGATGGCATTTCAGTTCGTCCCATCGGCGCTGACACATGTGGGCGTTACTGGTACGAAAACAAACGCAGAGCGCAAAGCGGCAGTGTAGAATATGTCAGCCGTGCCGACACAGTAGCAGACATGATCGGGAGACCAAATTTCTCGCGTCGTACTCCACCGTTGTCGCTGTCCCACAAAACATCGGCGAGGTGAAAAACTGTGAAACTTTGTCTCCACGAGATACGACGACGCATAAATATTGGAGCACTTAATGACGCAGCACAGGCAGCACTTCATGCTGTGAACCCAGCGCAACCGCACCACTCCGACTTCAATGCGTACCAACGTACGCGGCGTGGTTTCGGTTTCGTTTTCTCTGGGGTTCTCACTGCCTACCTTCGGTACCGGCCACGCGGCGGCGCGCCAGTCGCGTCGCACGGAGTGTATAGGCTCCGATACATTTGTTTCCCATTTTATAAGCACCTTGTTGCTATTATATATATCTTTTAAAAGATTAGTTACTCCAGCTTCTACCCCTAATGTACCCAGTATGCCCCACAAATTCTCTTGAATTACACTGTCGTAGGCTCCTTTGATATCCAGAAACGCTAGCCATAGGGGCCTTTGTTCCTTTTCTGCTATTTCGATACACTGCGTTAAAGAGAACAGATTGTCCTCTAACCTCCTTTGCTTCCGGAACCCATTCTGCAGCTCCCCCAGCACCCCCTCGCTCTCCACCCATGCCTGCAGTCTATCCTTTATAATCTGCATCACCACCCTGTAAATCACTGACGTCACCGTTATAGGACGATAGTTGTTTATGTCCGCTTTGTCCCCCTTTCGTTTATATATCATGCTCATCCTGCTTAGTCTCCATTCATCGGGGGCTTTCCCATCCGTTACCATTTTATTCACTGCCTCTCTTAATGCTTGCTTAGATTTTGGGCCCAAGTTCTTGATTAACATAATGGGAATACCGTCAGGGCCTGTCGAGGTGCTACTAGGAACTCTTTTCTCTGCCCTTTCCCATTCTCTTTGTCCGAACGAATCCATAGCACTTACCGGTCTGTTCTCCTGCGATAAAGCATGTGCCTCATTCCTTCGGTCTTTAAATTTTTCCGCCATCATTGTCCCTATATGCTGCATTGCCTTATCCCCTTCCAGTCGAGTACCTTGAGCTGTAACACGCTGACGCCACCAAGTGGCAAGACTCGTAACTACGGTACGCTTGGCCCTCCGAGGCATGATGACGTCAAGACCGCGCCGGATCTCCCGGATGCATCGCACTCTTCGACGGCTGATTTTGAAGCGCTCGCCAAAATCCAGGCATTTAGAGCGAAAAATACAGCCATCCGCTTGAAATATGACTGTGCGATTATCAATTACAGGTTAATCTGATTCCATTTGACTTATCTCTAGGTGTTTCCTGTATATTTTAAGTTTCGATTCAGTATCCCTTTAAGGAATGCCGGTCGCGACCTAGAAACACATACAATTCGTTACAACACTCCTTTATAGTTAAAGCAAGTAGGCAGGCGAGCTGGTTAAGGAGAGACATAGGAACCCAGGAGTGAAAGAACAGAAAAAGGATGGTCAGACACGAAACTCCGAAACTTGGTCCGCTTCGTGTCTGTCCGTCCTTTTTTTTTTTTTTTTTTGTTCCCTCGCTTCAGGTTTACTATGTCAGTCCTTTATACACCCTAATAAAAAGTAATGGGAACTTGTACGCACCTGGCGATGCGATGCATCAGGTATCGTAGAAAGAACCCTCTTGTCTGGACAGCCTTCTGATCGCGCAGTGTCTTGATCGTCACGTATGTCATCATGAAGCCGCTACGAGACAAGGTAGAAAAGAGATGGGGGATGTACACTGTATCTCAAAATGCAGAGTAGGTCCCAACCCGGCACTGTGCCAACGATAATATCAAATGGTCGTGTCCTCTTTTCTTGTCACGCGAGTCAATGTGCACGATGAATATTTGATGAGCTTAAATAGGCAAAATGTAAAAAACTAATAGGAAGTGTCCTGTTGCTTTCTTTTTAGCATGTTCCGCGTGGGCAATTAAAACATTGAATCATCGTTTATTTTTTCATCATGAGCGATGGGGGGTTCCGATGAAAAAGGCTGCTTTTATGTAGCTTGACGAGTCCTCGGCGCCCCAACAAGGCAAACAACAACACTTGACTAAAAAGAAATAACAATAATAATGATAATATTAATATTTCAGTTATACATACGATGTACGCTTTTATACCATGTGAGTTTTGTTTCGAGAGGTGACATCAATTTCTAGGGATGCGAGAAGATGTAGTAGGTTGAGGCAATGCGTGTTTAACTCTGACGTCTAAAGTTGGTTAATGATTGGGGAATATGCCATGAATGTATTTCCTCATCCACCCGTAGAAACATGTAAGCTGGCCACTCTAGTCGCACATAGTGCAGGAATATGAGGATGTGTATCCTGTCATTGTATACTTTGTTTCATCCTACGATGGACTAAAGGCCAAAGGCACGGGCCGCCAGGTCCAGTCACGTTCCACGCCACACTATGACATGCCTAGCATTAGGGGTGGACGAATAATGCTCCAAACCCAAAAACGCCGCATCATTTCTATAGTTTCGACACTGCAAACAGCCTCTTTTCTGCAATGTAAAATTGTTGAGTCACTCAGTGCTATTTTGATTCGAACCACTGTCCGCCCATCCCCATTAGTGATCCGAGGCGCGAGCACTGATACGTGAATCAAAGAGCAATATGCAATTTTTAAGTGGCTTCTGATTGGATCTGTCGGTCCGTAGCTTTTGCCTTTAGTCCATCGTAGGGTGAGACGCAGTATAGTAATGCTTCTACGTTTTTAGACTGGTTGTCATTTAGAAAGGGAACATCTCGCTTCAGACATAGAAAGTGAAAATATAACAAGCACAATACGCGTTCGTCGATAGGTCTAGCAGTATGTGATTTCTTCGGAGCAATCAAGTCACTTGTAATACATATTCCCATGTGTATATTCATGTTCCTGCGCGTCACTTGCGCGCATTGATAAATGCTTGTAATGGATACTCCAGGTGTGTCACTATTGGTTTATCTTTTTACCCGGGCTGCTAATGCACCAAGATTAGTCGTGTCGTTCTGTAATGGCTAAAACAAAATCGCGTAAGATTAAATTGCGAGGAACAAAACGACTCACAATAGACAGATAATGGTGTCAGCAGCAGGAGTAAAGTTGATCATAAACTGTATTGTCAGATCCTTCATTTTGTCCTTGAGCAGTAGCAAGTTCTCTGCGGAAACGAGAACATTTGAGGAGACTTGAAATCAGAACGGTGATATTTTAAAATAGGTTCCGTGAACGCGTAAGAGTATCTGATTACAGCAAGATATATATTAAGAGCTGCAGCATCAAGGTGGCCATCATTTTGCTTGTGACTTTGTTTGTGTTTTTACCTTTGTTAAATCAATGGTGATACTTAATATCTATAAAGTGGTTAGGAGCGTGCGGTGGGAAGTGCCAGAGTCTTTATCACAAGATGCTTAGTTTATTGAAGGCTAAGTATTTGGTAAGACATTGACTGCTATACCATAGTACATACTATTCGCCCTTTACACCGACGTCGTTGGCACCTCGTATATTATTTTCGAACTACTCCCAGAGGCCGCCATGACTGGCGCTTCAACACAACGAACTTGTATTTTTTTTTTCGCTCTGCCAGGCCGGTATGTTGATTTCAACTTTTTTGTTTGTTTGTTTTTTATTACAAAGGTGGTCAGACCTATTGTATGTATAAAGATTCGAACTGTACCATCAGCAAAACAGTTAGCACGTACTATTTTATTTTTCTAACGATAGAAAGTGGCTTTTGGGCTGGGAGGGGGACGCTAGGAATGCGAGAGTTTATAAGCTAAGCTATTTTTACTCAGCAAACTGTTCAAGTATGCGTGAAACTTCACTTTATCTACAAAGCAAAAACAATTTCTTTTTTTTACATATTTTGGATTATCCGGAGTATCCCGACCTTATTTATCTGATATCTGGTACCGATCCGCATAGCTGCAATAAGATATTCATCGCCTGCTCTTCCACTCATAAAGATGGGAGACGAAAAGGCTCCGCTTTGGTTGGAGTGCCTGAATGTCTATCTCAGTGGTGTCTGAAGGCACCCCAGATCTGGTTGAACAACAGCGCTCTCAATAGCCGCTGTTAAAGGCGGGTGTGGATTTAGGCACAGGTGAGGGCTTACTGGTAAGCATCATAGAGTGAAGTAAAAGGATGTTTCCAAATATGAGCCAGATGACGCTGAGTGCTCGGAGACCGTGAACACATCTCAGTTCTTCCGTGTTGCGGCTGCTGGCGAAGCTGAATAGATGCCGAACGCTGCTGATGACGGAGAAGCATCGCAGAAAGTCGCCGGGTGTGGTCTTCCTGTCGTCTGAAACAGTAGCAGGCAAACCGTTCGCGACTGGCGAAACCCCAAACAAACATGGCTAGTCTTCACCGCTGGTTTTTGTCTTGGTGATCCTTACATTTAATCTTTCTTCCATAAAGTTTCTTGAGAACTAAGTGGTGTTGAAATTCAAGCTCAGCTTGATCAAGTTCCAAGACAAAGAGGAGAGCACTTTAGGTAACATATTGGGGCTTACAAGTAGTATGTTATATAAATTACGTGTTTTTTTTTTCTAGCACGGACATTATGGCTTTTGTAACGTTCTGCGGGCAACGTGTTTCTATTACATTTTGACAGAGTGACATGTAACTGTATTTAACTACTCTTTTTAGGAAAGTGTACAACGCCGAACTTGTCCTTCCGACAACTCGTGCCGTGCTGTGTTACAAATAAGACGCTCGAAAAAGGTGAATAACGACAGAAATTCGGAAAGTTGGACAGTACTAGGTGAAACAGATAAAGCTGCGCTCAAACTATCCGATGCACGGCGTACGTGGAACTGTTTACTCTCGAGGTTGCATACAAATCTAGTTTAATCTTACGCGCGATCGATAAAGAAAATCGGGGGACGCGCTTCATAGTCGTAATTTGCAAGCCCGATAACTGTCAAACTTAATTAGATTTGTTGAGATTTCATTGATTTATTTTGTATTTTCTAGTCTCACGTAGCAGACAGCAGTTATTTAAAAGTAGAAAAAAAACTAGGAAAATGCTAATTTAATTTTGAGATTCGGTAAATAAGTAACGTGCGTAAACGCTAAGTTATATTTTTATCGTGTAACGAGTAACAGTAGCAAGCTACGCTTCATAGTAACGCGCACGTGTCTAGGCGCGGTGAGTTCCGCTTTGAAACCTGAGTTCGCTTACTGGGGACTCGTGGCGGCGCCATTTGAAGGTTGTCGAAGAGAGACACCAGCGTTCCAAAGAACACCAGGGTCAAGATGATGCCCAAGACGATCCTAAAAAAAGAGATGCAGCAGTTACGGGCATGCACGACAAAAAATGTCGTACGCAGAATACGTACACGACGGTCGCGTGGTTTGTGCCGCCATAGTTAATGTGCTCACGCGTTTGTGCAACTATGGGTCACGTGACCGCCTGACGTAGATCACGTGACGCGTCCACGAGGCGTCGGCAATGCGCAGAAACCATATTTGCATGAAGTGGAGCATCTGCGCATGCGCCCTGATAATAGCAGCGCCACCTCAGCAGTGTGACGTCAGGGTCACGTGTTGGTGTACACACTAGGGCAATGAGGATGCGCAATCGGAAAAGACAAACCGGTGATTATAGCGCAACTTCTAATAAACCCGCATGAGGATGTATACTTACTTTCGTAAGCACACCGGGATGCATGCTGCCAAACAATGCACTGGGAACACCCATCATGACCTTAATATACCGATCTCACCAAGCGTTCGGCGCATGCGTGAAGCCGCCATAACTTTAGTTCATTGGAGCCTGGCGGCAGTGCCCGAGACGGCTCGTGCTTCCTCGTGCTCGGCATGCGCAGAGCTCCAACGAGGTTGTCGCACGTGCGGAAAGACTAAAGTTCCCTTGATGCATTGCAGCAGCGGTGGCGTAGCCAAACTGGCTGGTGAGATCGGTCTATTTCATTATTTTAGCCAACGAGAAGGTCGCGCGGCATGTCGCGCGTCAATGACCATGCAGCCTCGGCGACAAAAGGGTGTCCACCCGTTTCGTCCAGTTATAGACCGGAAGGCAATTGGAGTGGGACGTCGATCGCCCCCCTTCTCATTGGTCGAGCAGACTGAAGAAGAGATACCTTCCCGTGCATACCGCGTGTTCTCGCGCTCGTGCATGAAGTGACGCTTTACACACGCGCCATATTACAGCCGCCATGGCTGACCTTCTCTTGTCTTCCCGGAATGCCCGAGCAACTGAAGCGGGCGTTGACGAACCCCCACAAAGGTCCCTTCGGGAGAAGACGCAGTAGAGTCTAAAATGCCAATAACCTGTCCTGTTCTAGTAATGGTTAAGTAAATTAAACGAAAGAAGAGGAACAATCACTGAAGATCAGTTATGGCGGCGCCCAGGCACCAGCTGCTGCAAAGCGTCTATATCCTACACTGGCAGTTGCCCGATCTCCTCTGCACGTTGGCGCGTGCCGGCAGCGAGTTGGCAGGGGCTAGCAAACGATCACGGCGGAGCTGAGCACAAACAAAGGGGGAAAGGCTTGGTGCCGAGAGATTCTTACTGGTGGAACAGTCCGCGCCACACGAAATACAAGGAACGGTTCGGCGCCGACGGTTTAGTGGCCTTTGTTAATGGCCTTTGTGACTAAGTTTCTGGGTCAAAGACAACACACGTATTTTTTGTCGACGGACACATGTTATTGATGTTTACGCAAGTCGTTGTCCATCCGTGTAGCCTGACTAGAGTTTGCTAAAACAGGAGAGTGCCTTGAACAATGCCCTGATTTTTTTTAGACGCTTTGAAACTGTGTGCGTGCAAAATAAATGTGATGTAGCTGCCCTCGATTCGTGCGCAGGAATTGTCACAGCGCGTTCTTGAGTGTCGAGCTTTCCCGCAAGACCAACGAAAAACAACACGGTTTTGAGCGATCTCACTAATTTGACGCAGGTTTGTTGAATGCATAGAAAATGGCGAATAAGCAGCGGCAAAAATCGTTTTCTGCGCACATCCTGCGTCTGCCAGAAAAGTAGGCTTTTCCTCTCCCAAGAATGCAAGAGACCCCTTCTTTTTGATCACTTAATGAAACAGCGTCAAGTATCACCATGGTTTAGGATGATAATTTCTTATTGTCGGCCGGCTCGTGCACGAAAGCCAGGCAGAGTAAAGTTATATTTTGATCGATAAGCATGTCAAATAGGTTATGGAATGTTATTTGATTTAAAACTCCTGAGGGAAGGAGGGAAATCTCAAGCATCTTCAGATCAAAAGTGAGCGGGGTATTGACAGGCGAAATTTAATCCCGTCCTGATGGCTATCTTCCTCAGTTTCAACGACAAGTATATGCGACCTTAGAGTTTGAAGCGGAAAGCTCAGCGGACTTTCAGATGTGTAGATTAGTTGACGGGGGCTTTCTGGACACATAGAAGAAATCGTTATTTGACAGTTCGAGCTCACGTGCACACCACGGCACTGGCCCAGAATATTGAACGGATATGTTTTCGTTAAGCAGCATGGCGTCGCCTCCAGACACATGGAAGAAGTTTCCGGAAGGCATCGAACGGATCGCCCCGAATTTTACGGGAACAGTAATCTGCGGGGATAAGCCCGACCCGTTAGGAAGGAGGGGCAGGGAGGGGGGGGGGGGGGGGGGGAATGAAGAGTTGAAACGAAGTTAATGCCGTCTGGAAGAACCAGACGTCGACTGCAGCCAAGGCAAGCACTGTGACTGCAGCACTTCAAACTTGCAATTTCCTGGTTGTGTTGCTCTCAATTAGTGACATTTTTGCTCTCACACAATTATTGAGCCGGCTTTTCCGAAAAGAGACCCTGGATCTGCAAACTGCAGCCGGACTCTTGCACGGCTCTCTATCTCAGCTGAAGGCTAAAAGAGAGATATGTATCCAAATCTGCGAATGTTACTGCAGATTCTTGCTTCAATGCCAGTCAGCGTCGCCTCGGCGGAGAGCGCATCTTTAATGCTCCGTCGCTTGATGACGTGGTTGCAGTCCAAGATGATCGAGGAGTGTCTTACGGGACTAGCTCTCGTAAACATCCATCGGGATATTCATGTTGACACGTGCAGTGTGATAGACCGCTTAGCAAGGGCAAGGAGGAGTAGGACCGACTGCCTTCTCTGAAGGGTGCATAACGGCTTTAGAAAAGTCACGCTTTGTCACTCACAATCCGCAAGAACTAGAAGCTAGCATAGATTATCACACTTGTGGTATAGGAGATAGACCCTCTGCTTAAAATTTTCACTTTTTTTTAACTGGCAAAGATTGAAACAGATGGCCTTTTGACACTATAAATACCGCATTTTCACAATCATTTAATCTGTCGTTTTGTTCACTGTTCAGATAAACTTGAAGTTCCTTGTGATCAATCATCGATGTTTCAGAATCTTGTCTTTGTGTTCGGCTGCACGTACTCTGCTACACTTTCAATTTATTGATTTTGTTTGGTTTCAAGTGTACATATTGTAAAACTTTTTGGTGTCTGCGTATACACTATGTGGTTTTGTGCCATTAGCTTACAACTCTGAATTGCTTTTCTAGCGTATAGATTTGTAGTGGTAAGAGAGTCATTTGACTGCACGTGGTCTTTTCAACCGTTGATATTTCGTTTTTCAGAGGTTTGGTTTTGCATAATTTTGATTCGTTTGCTGACATGCTGTTTTCTCATAGTCTGTGTGGATCCCGAAGTGGGAATAAGTTTTCTTTTTAAAATACGCTTGATTACTTTAATAATTGTTAATTTGTTTAGTATGTCTCGTTAAAGAACCTTCTATTGTACTTTTTGTTTCATGTATAAAAATTCGTCTTGTGACACTTTGGAAGGGAAAGTAGTAGCATTTGTGAATACAAAAATTAATGCGATGTTGCACAATTGCTTATGGCAGAAGTACTTAGCGCAACGCTATATAGCGAGCCAAGGTTTAAGTTGAACATTACTAAACTGCAAACATAAGAACAAAGAAAATTCGAGGACACCTAAGGGCGTTTTCAGATAAGATCGAACAACGATGTCCAATGACCATTTTTAATCTTCATGAAACAAAAAAAATATTTTGCTGGCTCCATGTCCAGAAGAATAAAACCAACCATTGTTTTCGAAATAAAAAAAAAAAGTCTTTGCGAAAAAAAAAAATCATAAGTCACGTGCGCGTTTTGCGTATCGCACGATGTTGACATTTAGGGCGACTTCCCCAAAAAACTGTTTTGGCTGCGGGTTTAAAAATATTTACTGGCAAATTAGGCATAGGAAAGATTGACAAAAAGTATTAATCATCGAATATCAGGGTCGTTATTTTGAGGAAAAAGAAATCGCAAACACGGCACATTGCAAGATAACGCTCTGGATTAAAGATTTTTTCCTCCGTATCTGTAAAAGCTAAAGTCTTCAAACGTTGGCAGTGTATTGCCCTATATATAGTTCATCTTTCTATAAAATATTGGTGTCCTGGTTAGCAGGAGAAATTTACAAGAATTGCTCAAACAGGGGCATTTAACTAAATATGCATTATTTTTAATATCATTTAAAAAAAGGCCATCTTAAATATTCTTTACAGTCTCTGAATTTAACATTTATAATGTGTACTAACAGAGTCTGTAAACATAATGCAATATTTGTGTGGCTTTGAAGTTTTAAAGCGAGAAATATAGCCAAATTAACGCTAACGCGGTTGCCATAAATGGGGCGTGCACATACCCGTTTTTCACAATTCCATTATTATTAAAAAACGTAAAAATGCTACGGGGTGGCCAGGAAAAGACGAATTGACAGCACAGAAGTGGACGGTAGTTTTGAAGGGAAAATTCCTAATACATTTTCGTAAAACCGACCCAAAAATGCCCATTTGCCGGAGCGATCGAGGTGTGCCACCCTGTAACTTGCTTCGCGGTGATTGTTTCAACAGCCGGCGTATAGCGTCTCCGTCTACCCGACGTAAAGATAGCAACCGGAGCGACTTTGCAAACAGATCAGCCTACAACCTTGGCGGTAACATGATATAGGAGGTGGGGTGCGGCAGAACCCGAACCAGCGCCGCCTGTGTACCGGAGAGAGTTTCTCTGTGGGGTGGCGTTCCTTGAAACTACGACGCGCGCCAGCCAATGGGGGCCTATTTATCAAAGCATTGCTACAGACGACAGGCTTCGCTCCATTGGGACAGAGGAGTTTAGGTGCCAATTGGCGCGGCTTCAGAAGGTGATAACGCCGGTTCGCTTCATGGGACAGTTAATGCTTTCGCATTAAAAATAATTTAATAAATAACGAGATGTCATTTTTTTAAATATATCCCCCTTCCCCCCCCCCCCCCCCCCCCCCGCGCCTGATGTATACAGTGTATGTAACGCGTCCCCACCAAACTTTTTTTATTGCAAAGTTTCGGGTTTTCAAGACGTAAAATCGTCACCAGCTCGACTGCACGCTCTCTGGTATTTCTAAAACATCCGTGCGCTAGCACTCATATTTTAGTACATCCTATATTTAAGAGGCCGTCATCCGATGCACCAGATTCAATGGCGCATGGTGGGTGATAAGAAATGGAGAAAGTGTTCGTTGAAATAAGGAAGTAAGTTTAAAACAGCGGTGAAATTTGAAGTTAAATTAAAGTTTAAAAAAATGCGGGAGATTAATTGGAAAGTTCTTACACGGCCGCCAGGAACGGTGGATCCCAACGCATCGTCTCCACTTGGTCCTTCGTTTTGCACGATGTGACGTTTGCCGAGAAGTCAACGTTCGTGAAACCCTTCAAAATTGGCCGGACTGTAAGCAAAGAGGAACTCTAAGAAACTGCTGCAGTTAAAAATATCAAACCAGTATTCTCAAAAATGCTTCTGCGACTGCTTTCCTGCGTCAACCAAATGCCAAAAAAGCTAAAAAAAAAAAAAAAAAAAAAAAAAAAACAACAACAACAAGGAAACAAAGACGGACATTGAACATGATGCTTTATTTCCTCATTGTCTTTGAGGAGATCGCGTTTTTGGGTAATATATTTAATTTTCTTCATTTCTTTCTTTATTCGCCTCGACGTTTGTTGGGCGCGCTTGCAAAGCATAGCAATTTTTTCAAATCATCATTTGCGAAAGGGCGTACAGATTTTTGCAGCGAAGTTTTTTTTTGTTTTTAATTTGAGGTTTTGGCATGCCCATGGGGGGTTGCAGTCACCTAAATTCCACACTACGGTAACAAAAAAAAAAACTGAGATATGTGATGTGAAGTCTGCACACTGGTCTCTGAGTGTACGCTGGACAGTGATCCACTAAAGCCGAGTCACAATGATATCATTCCAAAAACAGTCAGCCAGACATCAGTCACCGCAATATTCGAGATTTGAATGCGGCGTGCCAAGTTTCTCCTTGAACTCGTTGCCATGCGGCATTCGAAGCGCAGATCTCGTGCTGACTTGCTTTCGAATCTGTTTGCAGACTGTCTTTTGTGTGATGGGTATACGCAGTGCGACCCCGGCCTTACGGCGCACTTCGGTCACCGACAACCTAACAAACAGGGGGTGTAGCAAGTCCCGTCTTGAGCATGTTATTAGCGCTACGTAGCCAATAAATAGAGTCCCGTGTTTTCAAAAAAAAAAAAAAATGCGATAAAAACTATATATAAAAAAAAAAAACATGGCCGGTAAAATGTTCGCTAATGCGGAGAGCAAGGCGTCTGCTTCTTGTGTAGGAGTGGCGGTGACGTCAGAACGACGTTGAGCTCTGATTGGCTTTGATTGAAAAGAGAGTGGGTAGACCTCAATGGCTAGATACCTTGAGGCCTACCCACTGTTCTGTTTCAGTCAGCCAATATGAACTCGGTGTTCTGACATCATCGCAGCGCCTGCGCAAGAAGCAGACGAAGTCGCGGAGCGCAAGTTCGTCTGCGCATCAGGATTTATTCGAACAACTTCAAATTTGGAAATCACTTCGGCGAAATGAAAATCACAAATAAAAGAAATACGGTGTTTTACAAATAAATGTTTGTTAGAGCACGCGTGGTCACCGGTTCTCAGTAGAGATGCAGGCCACTTCCGTTGCCTTTGAAATCCTGGACTATAGACCTTTGTCCGGAAGTGCTCTTTTTAGCCTCGACCGCAAGGAGCAAAAGCGAACAATAATCTCGAACCCAGACGCTCACGGGGAGGGGGGGCTGCGTCGGCTTGCGCCGCCGGTTCCCGTTGAGGGCTTCTTCGCTGGTGTGCCGACTGCCGTTTCGCCGGCATCGGTCTTGTTTACCGCGGTATGTGAGTATAGTGCCCGTAATGTGAGAGCCGTGTGTCCATACGCCACTTTGCCGTTGTTGGTTTTCATCTAGCCGAGCCAGAAAACATCTCGCGACGAGTTGACCGCGCCGCGAGTGACGAAGAAGAAGCAAACATGGCGACGGTTTGTGCGATTGCTTTGGTGGCTCCGGTGTTGAGTGTCTTCAACGTCCTCGTGAGAAGGTTCCCCTGCCCTTCGAAGTTATTGCAAGCACCATGAAAGATGTGGAATCATCGTCTCAACTACAAATAAGCAGGCTTTCACGAGCAACAACGATGCCGAGCAGGCGCTCGGCACATTTGTGTCAGGCTCACGCAGCCAGCGGCACAGTTGTGTTGGTTGTGTCGTCAGATGTTCAACAACGCCGAGGTATTTTCATTTATCATTTGGAATGGCTTCAAGAGTGGGAAATTAATCTATTTCGCGGATTGTTAACGCCGAGGCGAGTGCCCTCCGTTGCAGTGCCGTCGTCGCGCAAAGTGCAGAGAAAACCGGGTGGCGATGGCGGCGGTGCTCTTTGATCTTGCGCCGTCGAGTTCATGAAGTCCGGAGTAAACGTACGTGCGTGCGTCTGCTGGATCGGTATTTTGGACTTCCTCAAAACTCTTTCTCACGCGCATTTTCCTTGTGAAGCTTAGTAGCTCATTACACCTCATCGTCGACTGCGCCCATTTGACTACGACTGACGAGCCTGCGTGATGTGAATTTCACTGCCTAAGATCCTTGGTGTGCTGTAACAAGGGCTAATAAAATATCACAGCGAACTTCTGAACAAACGAGTCGAAGTTTCGTCTGGTATCATAACTGATCGCCTGTCACAATATTAATCAGTAGCGTTCCTAGACTCCGCCCCCACAGGCACCGTGCTTCGTTGCCCGATAGTAAGTGTCTCCTGGTACCTCGTAGAATTCCAGCTGCCACTTCAAGTAAGTACCATCCTTTAGAAGTGGCAATTAATAGTTTCGAACCCAGACGCTCGCAGTGTGTGTTTGTGTGTGCGTGTGTGTGTGTGTGTGTGGGGGGGGGGGGGGGACAGACGGACGGACGGACGCGTGCTAACATACTCGGAGCCCTCGTTTACTCCGCTTCGCAGCGGCAGACAAGGCGCCACATTACAAAAGAAAGCTAATCCGAGCTGTCTATGTAAATAGATCTATTCGCTAGTCATTCGATGAAACGTCGTCGTCTCGCTTTCATTCGATGAAACGTCGTCGTCTCGCTTTCATTCGCTAAAACTGCGTTCCATCAAGTGAACGCCTCGCACTTATTTCGGCTTGGCAGAGCCGCGCTGCCGCAGAAAGGCAAGCAGATCGCGAAAATCGGTCTCAAACGTGCCACGAATGTAATGTCGTATACAAGAAGCCAACAATCAAGCATTTGAAAGCTACAAGAAAGCAGTAGCGAAATATTTACTACGCAATGAACCCGGACTGAAACGCGGATGTCAAGGGTCAGCAGACACCGAGAACATCTAAGACAAGAAAGGTTTTCCCTTATTTTCCTTGATCGAGATGGGTTCTCGAATGTTCACGACATCTTGCCTGTTGAAGAACGGGCCGCGGAGGCTTCTGGTGAAGACATCTTTCACGATGTGTCGGTGCATTCGGACAGCCTGCCGCATCCAGCTACCCAAAGCAACGCCGCCGACGCAGCCCCCCCTCCCTGCCTGCCAGTTCTTTCCGCGTGGTGGCGCGAGCGTAGATAAACATGGCGGCGCCCCGGAATTGGCGCGGACACTGGTCTATACTGACAAAAGGTGGTTTACCGTCTCTCTCGTCAAGATTCGTTCAGTGCAATGAGTCATGTGAATCATGGTACTCCTGGGTCGCGATAAAAGCCATTTTTTAGGTTTCCAGTTTGGGCAATGCTATTCGAGCTTCTTAGAAGTTGTGTTTTTTTGTTTTGTTTTGTTTTTAATAAGGGAAAGCTATGAATTTTTAGGTTTTTACGGAGGGGGAAGGCAGCTGAAGCTTCCATTTTTTCCCCAGAGACTACGTCCAGGAGTTTATAGTAATATCAAAGTGTCAATTGTTATGAAGCCAACAGTTCTTTACAGTATTTGTCGTGGGATAGTTAATTAGTATTGGTTAGTATTGCAACGGCCAGGGCGCCAATGCCATATGTAGCTGCAGAAATATCATTCGATACAGGTGCATTTTAATGACGCTAAAGCCCGAGAGCGTAAGGAGCTCGTTGCACAAAAAATCCGACGTCGATGGCGTGCGCTAAGATCCAGGATAGGTCAACAGGGTCATGACGTCACATCACAGCCACATTACCTTGCGCGGGAATTTCAGGCAACCCCCAATGCTCACGTGAAACGTGACGTCACGAGTGGAATTGAAAGTGATTAGAAAACATGTGAATTACATGTCGCCGCATGTCTCAAATGATTTCACTTTATGAAGTAATTCATTTGCTTCAAAGAAAATTTTCAAGACTCTTAAGCGGGATTTGAACCCACAACCCTCCGGTTGCGAGCCAGACACGCTACCGCACGGCACTTTTGTCTTCTTTATTATAGGCCACACAAGGCACGCCTGAGAACGAGTAGGTGTTTTAAGGGTTACATGGTTCGCTATCGCGTTCCACTCTTAAATGCAAATCTTTATCGCCATCCTAGTTTTTTTCTTTTATTAAAAACAAAATTAGGGACACAATAAAATGAAACTCTGAGTTTGAGAAAATTAGGAATCTAACACAAATAAACTCCGATAATCCCTGAGCATTCAGCGAAAACTAAACTCCGAAAAACACAGTTCGAAGTTCACGAGAAATGAACTCCAAAAACACGGAAAAGACGAAAAAAGGAAGCCGAAGAATTAACCACGAAGCTAGAAGCGTGAAGATAAAAGCCTCGCTTTGCGGTTTTTGAGATTTCAGTGACATTTATTCTCATTGGCATTTTTTTAATCTGTTCAGCCAATGAGAATTTCGATTGGTATCATGCTTCAATGCTTTTAGTGGCAAAAGGAATCGATGCCATTTTGCCGCTGAGGCTAATGATTAATAAGAAGGGCGCGATACCGCTCCTTCGCTTTTATTGGCTAGACTTATTAAAGAAAGATCGACTATTGGGCGTACCGAGTGTGTCTAGGAGGCAACATGTAAGCTGGAGCTAATGGATGTATAAATTGAAGTAAAGATGGACAAATAAAGAAGTATTAATTGTATACTTACTGAAGGTGAAAATGGACTGCACATCTTGCCTGGTACAAGTCGATGGCATGCAAAGTCCGAAATATCCGGGGAAGTCTTCGACGACCTTCTCTATTTCTCCTAAGAGATAGCTCTGAAGTAAGAAATAAACACAAAAATAAGAAACAAGGCTTGGCTAATTGACGATGCAGTCTCTGTAGCAAAAAAAAAAGATATATATATTGAAATTGTTAACCTGCACACTGAGACTGCATGGCCATTGTGGCATAATGCAAACCGTTTTTTTTTTTTCTCATTGGATGACCTAAAAAAAAAAATCAATCGGTGAAGCATACAGGGTCAGTGTCTTCTAGGAGTATACCAACATGAGCACTTGCTTATTGTAATACACTCAAATACACAAACAGCACGTTTGCTCACTCGCAATGTCAATCAGGAGGGCACGCACCCTCCCCTCTTTTCCCCTTCCCAGTGGCGAAGCGAACAGTGGCGAGAGATGTGGGCGCCTTTCTTTTGCTTTTTTCAACAGTTGGCGCGTAATTCTTTTTCTCTTTCCGATTCTTCTTTAATTTTTAGACTGACATTTTTAGGGGGATATGCCCCTTTTTAAAGATTACATAGAGATCAGTGAATAGAGTTGCGAGTGTTTTCAGGGACAGTTTGCTTGCCGACATTTCTGAAAATGTAGGACATGCCAGACATTTCTTGCACGCTTCTACAAAGAAACGTGCAATTTGTTTTACGGTCCTATTTGATTTTTAGCGTGAAACATTATACACGTGAAAACGTCAACTCCGTCGTTCTCGCCGGTGGGACTCACGTCGTCACCGAGCATTCCGTCGACCATCCTGAGCAAGGTCTGTGAAGCGTTCGAGGACTTGGTTGCTTCGAGAATGTTTTTCAGGTCAATTCTGTACCGGACTTGACAGTAGTGACCCTGCACGTGATCGACGCGCCACACGCTCTGGTTTCGGTCGCGGCCCGTGATGTTCAACCGCGCCCAGGCTTTCAGGCATTCGGACTGCGAGCCGATGCTGTTGAAGCCGCCTTCGAGGATCCCAGGTTCGGGCTTCGCCATCGCGTCGATTACTGAAAAAAAGACAGTGCGAAATTATTTCGAATTTTGTTTGGCGAATAGATTGAACACAAAAGTAAGCGCAGCAATTTTTATCTCATTTAATAGCGTATATCAAGGTTATTAAAAAAAAAAAAAAAGTCTCCTCGGTCTCAATTCTCAGTCGTTACTGAAACAGCCTTGTTGCCATTTGTGGTGCTTTACACACAAGCGCATGCCATTGTAAATCGTTGTTCGAGTTACTGTACACCCGTGAGCGATATGAAGGTGAACAGCCCTCTTCTTGTTTTTGACGCTCCTGCAAGTTTTAGGACAAGCTCTGTTCTAGAAGAGGGCTAGAACGCAAAGTTTAGGCCCCCAAGCCACGTACCATTTGAGACGCTGAGAGTTAATATAGCTTTAGGGAGCCGTAAAACGGGCGGCGGAGAAAAGCTCACCGGAGAAAAGCTCACCGGAGATAAGCTCACCGGAGAAAAGCTCACCGGAGAAAAGCTCACCGCAAAACCGGCAGATGCGGAGAAAAGCTCACCGACCTGTCAGCAGATGCGCAGAAAAGCTCACCGATTTTTTTTTAACTTAGCGGATTTTGCGTAAAACGTGGCAATTTAACACAATTAGAATTCGTCACTTCATTGAAAATAAGTCTCCTTTTAGGTTGTAATATTCTTGAAGTTCATTGGGCATATTTGCTAATTCCTCAAAAATTAGTAATCACCCATTTTGTATATTAATGAAGCCGCAAGGGGGTCTAAAATCAGAACATCGTACACCTGTAAAAAACGACAATTTATTGACAGCTGACAGTGCGCCGTCGGTAGCTCTGTCAGATAAAAACGCTTTCTCTTTGCGAGCTAATATGAATAGCGGTGTGGTGAACGGTTTCAGCTGCGAATATTGTGTACTGCCTAATAGATAAGTACGTGTTCATTGATATAATCAGTGTACGCTACGTTGTTTTCTTTCTGTTAATTGCATTAAGAAAACTTTAGTTGCGAAAACAGCCTCGTCGTGTCGTGTTTGTTGTTTTCACTCCATCGTCGTCATTTGAGCGGTTTTCATCATGTATAACGTTAACCAACTCGCCCTATTCGCTACCTCACAGAAAACGACTTCTTACATAGGTGACGAGTAACAGCGGTGCCAGTGTGCAGCTCTGAGGGTCATGGCTGGCTCATCGTAGAAGGGCACTATCACACAAAGGCAACGTGTGGAAACACCAGCACGAACGGCTATAAAACGTGCATATTCGTGAAAGAAGGAAGCCTCAATATCCTACTGACTGTTTTATACTGTTTTCAAAAGTTAACAAAAGCTTCAAAGAGAATTTCAGGCATGGCGTTGTTGCGCATGCCCTTTCGGATATTCGGCATTTACAGTTTTGATTTTTAGGTTTTAGGCAGACATTATTAAGTCTTCAAACTTTTTCCTGTTCTTCAAGTTCATAAAGTTGTCAGTTAGGCTTTTGTTGCCCTAGAGCGTGAGCCACAGAAAACACTCGCCCGCAATTATTATTTTGGGAGCAGAATACCCAATAAGCTTAACAAATATTACAAAAAATGTCTTTTTTTTACAAAGCTGACGAATTTTAATAATAATAAATTGATATATGTTATGCATGATTCAACATAATAATAGAAGAAAAAAAATCTGTGAGCTTTTCTCCGCATACGCTCAATGACCGGTGAGCTTTTCTCCGCATCCGCCGGTTTTGCGGTGAGCTTTAATCCGGTGTGCTTATGTTTGGTGAGCTTTTCTCCGGTGAGCTTTTCTCCGGTGAGCTTTCCTCCGGGATTCCCGTAAAACAGGCAAGAAACCAGGTAAGGTGTTCACCTTCATATTGCCGGCGGTACGTATGGATCAGCTCGTTGTTTATTGGTAAGGTACTGCACTTCCGTCCTTTTTTTTAAAAAAAAAATTGGGGATGCTTGTTTTATTTGCGTTCATTTTTTTCACGGATTCGGTGTTTTCCGGTGCAAATTATTGATGCCGGGCGAAAGATCGGTGGTTATCCGGGCACACCTGTAGAAAATAGGACACAGGCTCAAGATTCTCCAATCTTCAAGCAACATGCGCGTGGCGCGAATATTTAGAAAACGTGCCAGTACCGACAAGGAAAAAAAAAACCAGCCTCGTCGACAGTTCATTACAGGCCGTATTTCCGCTAAAAACAAAATAAAGCTCTAGATCAATGTCTTATTCGTAAAACTTGCGGGTTCTTCTTTTATATGTATATATATAGGGTAACTTGATTTGGCGTTTTCTCTTTCGTTTTTTTCCTTCGATTTTAATTAAAATAATTTGGGGGTTAATTTTCCAAGTTTATTGGTATTCATTGAAAACACGGAACCCTAATCATAACTTATAAGTAGGGGTCTATTGCTTTAAAATAAATCCGGTAAAATAAAAAAATAAAAAAACGCCGGTAAACTTTTCCCAAATTCAAATTTATGCGAAAAACTAAAAACTTCGATGTTACAAGGACGAAAAAGAAAAAAAAAAAAAAATCCGGAACCTACAAATAACTTGGTCAGATCAAGGGGTCAGTGGTCCTAAGGAAAAGCCTCTCCAGTTGTTGTTTTTTTTTCTTTTTTTTTCTTCAAATCTTGTACTATTTTTAGCAGGGGATCAACGTTTATCTCGTCAAGTTTTGTTCAAGGCAACGCGTCATTCGAATTTTGGGTCATGGCAAAAGTAACAGTTCTAATTTTTAGCACGAACTTCTTAGGGAAAGGTGTGTTTGTGTTTTTGTGACAATGATATCTAGGATCATAGGAAGGAGGGGGGCAGCTAAAGGTTCTCTCTCACCACTCCAGCGACGCCACCTCTCTCAGCCGCCGGGAGAAGCGTTGGGATCGGATGGGGAAAAAACGAGCTTTCCAGAGACGACGTCAAAGATTTCAGTGATTTTAAAGTGTTGACGTTTATTAAAGCAATTGTTGTTTGCATGTTTCACTTTGGGAAAGATAAGATAATATTAACAATGGCAAGTACGCGAATGCCCAATTCAGCTGAAGAAATATTATTCGATACAGGTTAGTTCAATCGAATTTAGGGCAGGTGTGTGCCCAAATAATATTTGTTTTTAAATTGAATTTAAAAAAATTGGGCACTCAACAAAATTAAGTTTTAAATCTTGGAGAATCGGGAATCATTCATAAATAAACTCCAATAAACTTCGAATTCTGGGCAAGCAATAAACTTCGGAAAACACCCTCCGAATTTTACGAGGAATAAACTCAGAAAAAGACGCAATCCTTCTTAAGCGCGAGACACATGCGTGTCAAAACTGTCCGATCCGACGTGCGAATGAGGGTTTTCGTCGCACCCGGCACCGGCACGCGCCCAACTTGCAGATAAATATTCGCCGCACTGCTATCCGATTTTTGGAGGGCCACAGGCAATGGCAGCACGGATGGCGCGAAGGTCATATTGTCACGTGACTTTCGGGCCGATCGGGAGAGGAGGTGCTACGTGGCCCGGGTACAGTGGCCTTTATCCCGGGGAAGCGGATGTGGTGGTGCGCGGTGCGTCGCGCGAGTCGTCGATGTGACGGAGACGGACGCCATCGAGATTTCCCGCGCGCACAAAACAAGCTGCCGATTTAGCCTGCTGGGACCAATTGAGACCGTCGAAACCCGACGGTCTTGATCGCTACGGGCCATTCCAATGCCGCGTGAGTCTCACGTGAACTTCGGGAGAGACGCAGCAATGCGCATGATGTGTAGTCACGTGATTTGTACGCAGTGCTCGCTTTGCTGGGATGGCTCCGAAGGTCCACTTCGGTTCATCGTAATAAGGGATGTTGAGCGGAAAAGTAACCCCGCGTAAATTCTTCAGACACGCACACTTTGATGGAATATAATAAAAATATTGTGTTTGTTTTTAATTCAGAAAAACCGCAAAGGGCGAGGGGAGATTTTAGGATTCTAGGCTGGGTGGTGCAAGCTACAGCACGTTATAAATAAATCCATTAGTATCCATCCATCCATCCGGTAGAGGGATACCCGAAACTGGTCGGAGCTGAACGGAACGACGCCACGATGCCACGACGCTACGAACTGTCGGAAGCGTATGCGTCTCGAACTGTCGAGTGCGGCGAGTCGGAGCAGACATCTTTCCGACAGTTCGCGCGTCGGATCGGACAGTTTTGACGCGCATATGTTTCGCGTTTTATGAGCATGTGTATTTACCCGCATAAGCTGTGTGCACTGTGCGTGTGCAGAAAGGTTTTTGTTGGAAGGGCGAAGCGTGTGTATGCATTCCACAGCCAGCGCAATGCCAATGCCACATATACTCGGCGTCAACTATTTTTTGCTAGGTATATTGTAAAGGTATGGTGATGCTGCTTCCATACTACTGCACAACACTACCCGCACTCCTGCAAGAGTACCGCAATTCCCGAAATATAAATCGCTTTTTTTTTTTTTTAATTTCCGTTGGTGCGTGTTATGCAACGGCGCGACTTATGTGAATTTTTGTTTTCCTACAGTAGGTATGTAGCTTAACTGCGGAAGTATTTTCTACAGGAGTTCTATTCCTTGTTCGATTAATGTGCGATAATATTGAGATTTGCTCTCGCTTGCTTTATCAATGCAGTTTCGCCGTGCCGACCATACAAATTTATACAAAGTGTACCCCCAAAGATTTATTATTATTTTAAATGCAAACGTGAACTACGCATTTCCGAACGCTCATTCCCTGTCAAAATGTAGTGCTAGAGCTCCGAACCAGATGCCAAAGTTTCAGCATTAACCGCTTATTTAAAAGTTAATAAGTAATTTCCTGTAATTTTCAATGTGTAAAAATGGTGACCGACCGAGCTCTGGAATACATGGAGCTCTATCGCGCCAGTTACAGAAAACGGGAGAAAATATACCCCAGTTTCCCATTGAAAATTTCAGATGATCACTTAAAACTTTTTAATGAGATAACTGGGCTTGTGCTGAAACTTTGCTATCTGGTTCGGACATCTAGCGCTACATTTGGGCAAAGATTGAGCGCTTGGTAATGCATACCTTATTTTGCAATTAAAAAAAAAAAAAAAAACTTCTTTTTTGTTTTTAAGAAAAAAAGGGGGGGGGGGGGGGGAGTGGAGCGCAAGCAGCATATCTGTGCCTTATATAGAAACATATTTTTAAACAACCGTTTATAGGGAGGTGCGACTTACAGGGCTGTAAATAGGCTAAGCGATTTTGCAACGTACGCTTTCAAAACTAAAAAAAAAAAACGCGTTTTTTTTTTTTTTTGAGGATTATATTTTGTAAGACTATCTCGCCCATCCTATGAAGAAACTACGCGCAAGGCAACACAACTTACCATAGAGAGCCCACATTTCGCCGGCGAAAACGTCCTTCACGAGGCGCTTGAGAGTCTTGCTGCACTTCATCGAAGCTCCCGTGATCCAAAGCATTCCGACAGCCATTTCGAGGGTTTCCCGAATTTTGTCAATCATCGCCTTGGGGTCAAGCGAGCCGAAGTCAAAACCAGTCGCCACCGACACCGAGGCGGCGAGGCAGATCCATTTAACGAAAGATGCCATGTCGAAGGCAGCAGAGAAGAACAGCACAATAAAGGACAAAAACTAGAACAAAGCAAAGCAAGGTTATAGCAGACGGTGGCAGGCAGTATGAAAGAGTGGTAGCAGAAGCAAATGGAATACGCAAGTGTATGAAAGCTGACGGCTTCAGAAAACGACGGCGTCTACCAATTGAAGCAGTAAGAGGCAATAAAACAGGAAATGAGAAGACAACTGCAGACAAATATTAGACGGTACAATTAAATAGCCTAAGGCAACAAAACAGAACGGGAGAAGATACGATCGAAAGGCAGAAACAAAAACTGAAGTTTTAAGCTCGCAGAAATTACTTTCCAAACCTGCCTTCAGCAATTAAATTTTCCAAACTAGACCAGCTTAGTGGGGAATCCTTTTTTAGATAATATAAACCAATATTGAACTAAACTTGGCCTTAAAAAATAGCCGACCGGTCAGACTTAAAAACCATCAAATCGTTAGTGAACGAGAAGCTAACGGCGTGATAACGAGGTCTGAATGATACAGCAGGAGGCGTACTGTATCGGGTAGCCTACTACCACTCGAAGCCAGCGATCAGTTACATTCCGCACTTTCTCATTGGGTGGCTGAACCAACAATCGACGGTGTTTCCTCGAGAGACCCCCTGCGCCTCGGTGTGTGCTCAGCTCCCGGTGAGGAAATATATGGGAGCCGAGAGCCTTGAAACGGCTTGGCTGCAGCCATCCATAATGCGCGCCAGAGTCGAGTACGGAGACCAGGCACTCTGTATGTCTACTGGAATAAAGCCCCCCTGATAAACTTCGCAATTCACGTTCTTACAAACACCATCAGTAAACGACGTGCGAATGCCTGATAGACTAAACAATGCGCACGGTACAATACTTTGCGATTGCGTACGATACTACTTTTTGAACTAAACGTCGTCCACATTGCGCGTACGGTGCCGGCTTACATTATATTCTTCGGGGTCAAATTGTGTTGTGGGAGTTTTGGCTGCGTTTGTTAAACCTGATTTTTGATTGGTATAATGTTTGAATTTGATTCTGTTTGCTATAGTGGATATGTACTTCGACTAATGTGTCACAGTAAGTGATTTTATATTTTTTAGTTCATCGTGTTTAGAAAACAACAATGAGTGGTTTTGTTGCCTTGACATCTTTGTGGTGAGGGCCGGCAAGTCAAGTAATTAATGAATAATTAAATACAGGGGCGGAATGAATATCTCGATTTCCTTTCCTCTTTTTCCAACTCAAGGATTCACTTTCATTCCACAAAACCTTTAAAAGCCCTAAAGTAACCGATTAGTCCTTGAATCACTTTAAATGCAGTAAAGGGCATTCAAATACGTTCGCTTTTTTATCCTTCCTTTTTCTGAATTTTTTTTTTTCAAAATTTGTATTAGTGTGTTTTTCAGCAAAGAGAGTTTCGGGCAGTGTGATGTCGCTTATGCATCCATCAATCACATATCTGATTTGCCCGCGCGTAAAGCTAAATGTAAAGGTTTCAGGTAAAGTGAGGTAAACGAAGGTACTCCGCGGTGGCGCATATTCTTGAGATTAAAGGGGCCATGAAACGCATTTTGGGTTGGGATGAATGATTTAAATTGGGACTTTACTATACTTCGTTTCAGCTTCGGTCCAGACGCAGCCGATGCTACAAGCGCGAGCATGTGCCCAAGAACAGTGCTGGCACTGCACGAGCGCGCGTGCTTGGCAGGGATGCTGAAAGCCCGCAGCTCGCGCTTGTAGCTTTGGCTGCGTCTGGACCGAAGCTGAAACGAAGTATAATCGCATATCATTTAGTTGGCCAGAAAAAAGCGGCTAAAAAGTCAAAAGCCAGCTTTTCGGTACGAGCATTTGAATATATAGCGGACTATTTTGTACCTTCTTGCCTTCGAAAGCTCTCTGCCTTTTCACTATGACACATCCGCAGTACCAAAAGCGCGTCACCGGCGCCAAACTGACGTCAGCGGAGCCCAGCTCACGCATTGGACACGAGAACTGCGTCACTCGGACGTATGCGCTCGTCAACAATCAATCCGTCGACGAATATTTGGATACGCGTTCGTGGCCAATGAGTGCCCTGACGGAACTTATTGTCACTGGGGAATGACCGAAGTTCTATGGTGTGCATAAAAAGCACAGTGGAAGCTAGGAGTCATCGCACCGGCGCCGAAGGAGTGTTACGACCACGTGATTTCACAATTCGCATTTGAGTTGAGGATTAAGGCTAAGGAGAAAGAAGTAGGAAAATCGTTTCATGACCCCTTTAAGCATCAAAGGTGCTTATATCTAAAAGAGCTTTCTTCATTGATTATCATAGGTTTTCTCCAGTCCTTAGTAATCACAACATGTCAGCATTGCTCCAAATGTTCCGTCATTTCAAGATAATTGTGCTTATTGACAATGGCCAGCATATACATAGACGGGATGTGCCGGGGGGTGGGGAAGGGGGGGAATATATGCTTATGTACCCACCAAATTGTACACTATGATGCCCGGAGCGGGTTTCCGCCTGGTGTGTTTATTGCGTCCTTATATGGTCGCTTAGATCTCCCGCTGTTGATGTCGCAACGTGCGATTTTGGAAACCATATAGAGGCTTTAAACACGCGCCAAATTAGAGCCACCATTGTTGACCTTCTCTTGTCTTACGGAGATACCGAGCTCTACAACGGGTGTTGAGGAGCCTCCAGAAAGGCCAATTCTGGGAAGAAGGACACAATGGAATCTAAGATGGCAAAAACCTGGACTGTTATGGTATTGACGAAGTGAAGAAAATGGAATAAGAGGACACAAAAACTGAAGGTCAGTTATGGCGGCGCCCATACACAACTGCTGCAAAACGTCTATACGCCTCGCAAGTGGGCTCATTTTCGTCTTCTGCGCATTAGAAAGGAAGTAGCGGTGACGTCAGAACGCCGAGCCCTGATTGGCTGATCGCGACCCCCTATCTGAGCGTCGTCTGCTCCTTTGCAACGTCGTCTGCTCGCAACATCGTCTGCGCCTGTCTTACCTGTCCTGCGGCTTTCGGAAGTGCAGGTCTTTACGAGCGAGCTCGACTTCGCCTTTCAGAGAGGGCAGACGAAATAACTCGAGCGGTACGTTGTTTTTGTCTAACAACTAGCAGACGGGTATCAAGGAGGGAAGTCAAAGGATTCCCTGGCGAGGTGCCCCGAGGCGCCGAGGTTTGTTTGCTAAGAACCGAGAGGTGAGCGTGTTAAGGGGTGTCCAAACAGGACACTACAAAACGCACGACTCTGACAAATCGTGAAAATTGAAGCGGACGCGCCCGCTTCAAGCCCGCTTCAATTTTCACGATTTGTCGGAGTCGTGCGTTTTGTGGAGTCCTGTTTGGACACCCCTTTTGTGTCCGCAAGTTACACCCCCAAATACTTTTTCCCACCTTTCGTGTGCGGCGAGACTCCTCATTCTTTAACGGCGTCGGCGGGTTGGCGCAGTTAACGTCGTCTGCTTTACGTCTTCTAATCAAAGCGATGGCTGCTTTACCTTTCCTGCGTCTGTCGGAGATTCACCGCTTTTTCACCGCTGAGAGTCACCCTTGCCTTGGGAAACAGGGAAACAAGGAGATAAAAAGAGGAAGAAATTGACCTCTTAATCTAAAACTGAGGTCAGCGATCAAAGTTTAATACGGGAAAGGGTTCACAAGGGTCGCGCGGGCATATTCCATTCAGCACGCCAGCCGGTCGTGGGCAGACGGTCGCCGAGTCGAGGAGTGCCTGCTAGGCCTAACTGCTGAGCTCCCTTGGTCACGTTCGGTGGAATCGTGGCCGTTGGAGCTATTCCCGGGTGTTTGTGGATCCAGCGTTCTTGTTCGTCGTGGTCTGTTTCAAGTACGTTTTACTTTTTTCTTGCTGCTTGAAGTCGGGACGCGTGAGAAGCGCACGTAGAAATATAAACGTCCGTGGGTGATCGCAACCGCGACGCTGTCGGCCATGCTGATTTGATCGTAAGAAGTGCGTAAGACAGCTTTGGAGCTGTCGTAGGATTTCGTCGTAACCTGCGCAAAACTTGAGAAAATTTTGTTTTTTGAATACATTTGTTCTTAAGTTTTGTCTTACGCACATTTTTGGCGTAAGATAGTTTCGCGAATCTGGCCTCTACACTTCTGAAAACCGCAGGAAAGGTAAGACAGACGCAGACGACGCTGCGAGCAGACGACGTTGCAAAGGAGCAGACGACGCTCAGATAGGGGGTCGGGATCAGCCAATCAGGGCTCGGCGTTCTGACGTCACCACTACCCCTTGAGCAAGAAGCAGACGAACTTGCCCTCCGCATAATGATCCGGCCGGTGGCACAGCAGCACAGGTATGTATGGCAAACTACGGTCGGGCTGGATTCGCGCGCTTCTTTTTCATGCGGCCTTTCCCGTCACAAGAGAAAGCGTGTACACCTTTGTGCGTGGGTGCGCTGGCACCCTTCAATTCTCGCTGCTCCACCTTGCTAACCCTGTTGCTCAAAGGGGTCTTTTTGTCGTGGCCCCGTGGTGTATGGGTGTGTCCCGAATTGCACAGCAAACATCGGGCAAGACTTCTGGCGTGTGTTTCCACCAGCTGCCCAGTGATGAAAGCACCACGTGAAAAAAGAAAGTACCAAGAACGAACTTTCTTGTCAAGTAAGGGCCTCTTTTCCTTTGGTGAAGAATTTAGCAGATTATTTCTTTAAGGCCACGGTCCCACTGATAGTGGCAGTTGAGGTACTTTTTGGCAGGTCATTACTCATCTCCTTTTAAATACTGTCTTGTGGGATTAATGTCATTCGAAAGGCAATGCAATCCTCTTTCATTTGATATTATGCATTTGTTGGTTTTTACTGTTCATGCGTGTTTGTAGCGTTGCGAATATGATTGCGCGGACCCTCACTTGCTCCACTAGTTCATGTTTTATGAACGATCCATTAAAGATAGCAGGGTTCCAATATAGCAGTTTTGTTAAGATGATGTCGGAGCAGAATGCAACGATACACTTTTTTGGTATTTGCACTACTT